GCAGGGGTCTATTAAATTGATCAATGACAGTAAACACATCTTTTATAATGTTGAAAAAGATTTTTCAAATAAAAAGAATATTATAGATCAATAAGTTAAATTATTTAAAATATGTTTTTTTTTTCAACTTTCTATTCATCAAAGAATTGTAAAAAAAAAAAAAATCTTAGAATTTCCACAAAAATATTATCAACATTGAAAATAATAAGAAATGTTTCTTGAACACCTAATCAGAATATTATAATGCTTTCTGAAAGATCATGTGACACTGACGACTGGAGTAATGATGCTGAAAATTCAGCTTTCCCATCACAGGAATAAATTACATTTTATTAAAATAAAAAACTGTTAATTGTAATAATTAACAATATGGCTGCTTTTACTTTGTTTTACTGTTAGTTTTTTTTATCAAATAAATGCAGTCTTGGTAAGGATAGAAGGCTTATTTCAAAAACTTAAAAAAATCTTAAATGTATATTATTATTGACGTAATTGAGTGTATTTGTTGTGAAAGTATGTGTGGTATGAAACAGATCTTGTGCTTCCCCTCTGCTTCAGACAGTTTGTAATGGTTTTCTGTGCCTTAATAATAGGCAATTGGTGAAAAAAAAGAGAAAGGTTGTAATAATCATAATCAAATGCTACATTCTTTCCCCTTGGAGTCTCTTGGCTGATCTTAACAAGACTCTGCCCTAAGGCATAAATTCAGCTCTGCTCACGTTAAACAAAATACAAAATCTCTTCATCACAGCATTGGATCGCTAATGCTCTGAAGCAGAAACCTGATGTCTACACAGTGAGTGCATTTGCTCTCTGTATCACTGTGGCCAGGGCTTCAGGCTTGAGTGCTTTCATTGTTTCTAGGCTGGGGCTAATGAATTGAATGGCCTCTACGAGTATCGACCCTGCAAGGCTGTCAGTGTGGATTGATAAGACGTATCAGTGCTGGCCAACCCCTAGCCTTTACTTTATAATCTGTTTAAGGAGATTTGTTTATGCTAAGTGGCATTTCCACCTATACACAATCGATTTTCCCATCAGACTGCACAAGGTTGCCCTACCCAGCTTTGCATGTGAAGAAAAGAGCGTGTTTAACTTGCAGTGGAGACATTGGAAAGAGCATCCACAGGCAGTTTTTCCTTATTAATCAAATGGATCGACATACGGATTTAGTGTTTCCCTTATGCTAATGATATACTGACTGATTAATCGCAAGTATCTGCAGAGAAAAGACCCAAAAAGAAAGTAATAGTTGTGAAGTTACCTCAAAATTGTGAAATATTATTACACGTTGAACTATTGATTATTTGGGGGGAAAAATTGTTTAATTTAATTTATTTCTGAGATGGTAAGCTGAGTTTTCAGCAGCCATTACTACTTCATACTTCAGTCACATGATCCTTCAGAAAGCATCTAATATGCATAGATAGATAGATAGATAGATAGATAGATAGATAGATAGATAGATAGATAGATAGATAGATAGATAGATAGATAGATAGATAGAATGTGTCTTTGAATTATCTTAATTTGGGGCTTTTTTCTCAGCAAATACATATTTTTCCCTCAGTGAAGGCAAACATGCAGTTGTGAACTGCAGCAAGTTTTACAGTCTTTTTTTTATTAATGCTGCTCGGCAACTTTCATTAAAAATAACAAACAGTAATGCTCTGTTACAAAGAGGGGTGCTTTATATCTCCAGCAAGTAAGCTTTGTTGACTAATGAACTTTCATTCTAATTAAATAGGCTAGATAAGAGTGTTTAATGAGGCAACTCATCTGAAGAAAAACCCTCACGATTTCCTCACCCATAATCCCCAAAGTTTGGTTCCTGGAAAGAATCGAGATTTATCCGTTGGGGTTTCATACAGAGAAACTAACCCTGAACTCGCACCGAGATTAACTGCACCCAATATAATGTAGTGTGATTACTGACGTCACGCATGATGGGTCGTGAAACACCCGTTCGCATTGATTTCCTGTGTTAGATAACAGATTGTCCTTTCACTTCTAATCGACACATTGCTGGTGGCACACTGGTGTCTTGTTTAATTTATTTCGTTAGTGGCTGGGTATTTCCATAGCTGGTCATTATCTTGTACTTCCAGCAGTGCCTTTGCTTCAATCTTCATTCCAACGTGAAGAAAATCTCAATATTCGCTTCCATATGTGCTGAATGTTTAAATACTTTGCACTGTCCTTTAATTCTTGGCAGTAAAAGTTAAAACAAGATGCTTGAGTACCTTGGAATATTTTTTATTTTATTAGAAGACAATGTGCGGCATACTGATATGCAAATATGTGTTTGCATGAGGTCCCCAGTGTCTGCGTGTCTTATTGGTCTTTGCTCCTTGTGACTTCTAAAGTACTTATCCACTGTTGCGCTCAGATCGCAGGTCTCGTGTGAGATTGTTTATTTATCTCCCTGAAATCATTGTTAGTGATTTTATTTGTTCTTTTATGTGGTGTAAATTGAGGTTGTGCATGCGTTATTGCTCTTTGTGTGGATAAAGTGGGATCTGCCTTGTCTTTCTTATGAGGAAAACAACTGTAAATGGGTGTTTGTACTGTAAGCAGACACAATGTATTGGTGCCTCATCATTTTTACATTTAGATTACCTTTGCCATCATCTTATGGTCATCAGTGTTTATTTTTAAAACTTTTAATTTTGTAATGTTTAGCAAATCTGAAAATAAATAAAAAAGTGTTTTTTTTTTTCATTTAGAAAAAATATTATGGAATTTGATATTCACCATTTATTGGTTATAACATGAAAATAATTGTTTTATTTTAATCTCAAAATAAAAATCTATTTTTCATATTATGCATTACAGTGGGGCAAAAAAGTATTTAGTCAGCCACCAATTGTGCAAGTTCTCCCACTTAAAAAGATGAGAGAGGCCTGTAATTTTCATCATAGGTATACCTCAACTATGAGAGACAAAATGAGAAAAAAATTCCAGAAAATCACATTGTAGGATTTTTAAAGAATTAATTGGTAAATTCCTCGGTAAAATAAGTATTTGGTCACCTACAAACAAGCAAGATTTCTGGCTCTCACAGACCTGTAACTTCTTCTTTAAGAGGCTCCTCTGTCCTCCACTGGTTACCTGTATTAATGGCATCTGTTTGAACTCGTTCTCAGTATAAAAGACGCCTGTCCACAACCTCAAACAGTCACACTCCAAACTCCACCATGGCCAAGACCAAAGAGCTGTCAAAGGACACCAGAAACAAAATTGTAGACCTGCACCAGGCTGGGAAGACTGAATCTGCAATAGGTAAGCAGCTTGGTGTGAAGAAATCAACTGTGGGAGCAATTATTAGAAAATGGAAGACATACAAGACCACTGATAATCTCCCTCGATCTTGGGCTCCACGCAAGATCTCACCCCGTGGGGTCAAAATGATCACAAGAACTGTGAGCAAAAATCCCAGAACCACACGGGGGGACCTAGTGAATGACCTGCAGAGAGCTGGGAACAAAGTAACAAAGGCTACCATCAGTAACACACTGCAGTAACAGGGACTCAAATCCTGCAGTGCCAGACGTGTCCCCCTGCTTAAGCCAGTACATGTCCAGGCCCATCTGAAGTTTGCTAGAGAGCATTTGGATGATCCAGAAAAGGATTGGGAGAATGTCATATGGTCAGATGAAACCAAAATAAAACTTTTTGGTAAAAACTCAACTTGAGGAGAAAGAATGCTGAGTTGCATCCAAAGAACACCATACCTACTGTGAAGCATGGGGGCGGAAACATCATGCTTTGGGGCTGTTTTTCTGCAAAGGGACCAGGACGACTGATCCGTGTAAACGAAAGAATGAATGGGGCCATGTATCGTGAGATTTTGAGTGAAAACCTCCTTCCATCAGCAAGGGCACTGAAGATGAAACGTGGCTGGGTCTTCCAGCATGACAATGATCCCAAACACACCACCCGGGCAACGAAGGAGGGGCTTCGTAAGAAGCATTTCAAGGTCCTGGAGTGGCCTAGCCAGTCTCCAGATCTCAACCCCATAGAAAATCTTTGGAGGGAGTTGAAAATCCATGTTGCCCAGCGACAGCCCCAAAACATTACTGCTCTAGAGGAGATCTGCATGGAGGAATGGGCCAAAATACCAGCAACAGTGTGTGAAAACCTTGTGAAGACTTACAGAAAACATTTGACCTCTGTCATTGCCAACAAAGAGTATATAACAAAGTATTGAGATGAAATTTAGTTATTGACCAAATACTTATTTTCCACCATAATTCTTTAAAAATCCTACAATGTGATTTTCTGGATTTTTTTTTTCTCATTTTGTCTCTCATAGTTGAGGTATACCTATGATGAAAATTACAGGCCTCTCTCATCTTTTTAAGTGGGAGAACTTGCACAATTGGTGGCTGACTAAATACTTTTTTCCCCCACTGTATATGCATTATGCCTATATTCACTTGTAATATTTAAATATTTAAATAGATTTTAGTTTTTTTATTTAGTTTTATTGTTTTTTTTTAATTTATTTTCCATTTATTTAGACAAAGAGTTTGTATTTTAATATGTATATTTTTATACATATTTTGCATGTTGTTTATGAATTTACAGTATGTTTTAATTAAGAGATTGATGGAATATTTGTCATTTTAAAACTGCATTTATCACTAGATTTTTTTAAGTGAACTAATGAAGACAAAAACATAATCTAAAAATGAAATATTGACACACAAGTTATGCATTAACCACCCATAAATGGTCTAAATCTTATCTCACATTTGAAAATGCAAGTGAAGGCAAAAAAATTATTAAAATGGTGAAAAAGATTTTAATGTTGACAAAGTTATGCATCAGCTATCCATAAATGGACTAAATAGTCTTATTTCATATTTTAAAGTGTCTGAGTTAAGGGTTTAAGTTAGTATTAGTATAATGATTGAGTTACTTTAAGAACAGTTCAAATAGTACATGGGTACAGGGTCCTTGAAATAAAAAAAGTGTATATGTGTTTGTTCCAACAGACTGCGGATCAGGAGGCTCAGGTTCAGGATCTGAAACCTGCGAGCAGGATCGTTGTCAACGATACGGTGGATCGTGGGATGACGACACGGAAGATGACCGCTGCGTGTGTGACTTCAACTGTCAGACAGTGCCACGCAGCCTAGTATGTCCACTCACATGTCTCTCACATCGCCATTTCCAATCGAAGAGAGTGCCACCCAGGCATTTGACTTGCGAAAAAATGCTTTTCTTGTTGAATCCATTAATCGCACCGAGTTAACCTCTCCGTGAACATTTCCAGGTGTGCGGCTCTGATGGGACTACATACACCAGCGAGTGTGAGCTGAAGAAGGCCAGGTGTGAGAAGCAAATGGACTTGCTGCTCCAGAGCCAAGGTCCCTGCCCAGGTAAGAGACCACCTTTTCTTTCATCTAATATTTATGTTTTCCTCAGTTATCTGAAGAATAGCACTCCAGGAACTCTGACAGGATGGTTGTTGCAGTCACTGCAGCAGAGTGCAGTATTTCTTTGAGCTTAGGGGGGGCTTGTGTAGTCCAGACCTGAGCATTTACCACAGAGAGAGGAAGAGCGTGGCTCTGTGATCAGAGCAGTGTGAGATTCCCTCAGGCTTCAAACCTAGCTTGACTCCGCTTGCGTGCGCACATGCGCTCTCTCTTCTTTCTGCTCTCTCTCCCTCGCTCACTTTCTGCACCCCTCATCCTTTATCTATGGTTTTCTCGAACTCTGAGTTTTCTGCTTCAGAGCCTCACAGGCCCTCTAGCCAGATCAGTCATGCTCCTTCAGTGGCCGGGGAAAATAAATCCTTTTGGAAAACTTTCAACCGGTGTGAGGAGCTTTTGGCAGCTGCTTCCCATTGGCTCAGCTCAGATCAATTGAAATCTCATCGGGCCTTGCATTTGATATGCAAGCTGCAGTCTCTCCTCCCCCGATTTCTGACCCGTGCCTTTGAGAGCTGACGGGCCTCCAGAGCACCTTGCTGCTTTTTGCTAATTGGAAATTAGGTCTCTGTGACCTCTAGACAACCTTGCACTGAGTCTCCTTGCAGTGAGGATCAGAGGATGCTGTAAGCTGCCTCTCGCAATTTGTTGGCTGATTGTGACGCTCAGAGGAGATACAAGACTGTGCTGGGCTGGGTGATAAAGCTACTAAAATTGATATTTATAATATTTACTTTTGCCGTTTTTATGTATTTCAATATTTATGTACTTTTTTTTTTTTTTACCACCAAACAGCCTTTGTGCCTAATTAGTTTGAAAAATATTTTAATGTAAAATTGAAAACCCAGTAAAATCTAGTAATATTTATTTGGATATAGATATTTAATGCATGTGTGTGATTTCACTGTGTGTAAATTTCATATTAACATTTACCATTTTGATTGAATGCTCAAAACAACTAGTGTTATTTGAATATTATTTATTTTGAATTAACTTTTATTTTTATATTTTTAGTTTTCCTTTTAATTTAAGTTTTTTTTTATTCTTCTTCCACTTTTAGTAATTCTAATGTTCTTTTATGTCATGGAGAAACAAACATTACATTTTCTGTAGGAAATTGTTGTATTACTGACATTGTGATATGTTCCCACAGTTTGGCAGGCGATCTTCACTCCGTCTATGCCATTACCATCACTAATAATCTAAGATACTTCAGTCAAAATAAACATCTAAGCTGATCGGTCTCACTTTTTGGCAGCACCTTGTTGGTGTCAGAAAGGATTGTGTTGTAGAACAAATTAGTGTAGAAAGAGGATGGTGAAGAATCGCAGTGAGACGAGAAGAAAGGATTGAATTAAAAGCACCTTTGTCATAATGGACTCAGTGTGGAGAGGAGAAGTTTAATGAGGTGTGGACAAAACCCATCTCTGGAGCCACAAAATGCTATGAAAGGCACGGTGACACATCACTGGTATACCCCGGGACGTGTCCGCTCATGCCGACGGCTCCCTGATTTACGACAGCCTAGTCCTCCTTGCTCCGAACTCGAAACCACAAACCTGCCACCTCACAGCCATTCAGTTCAATGGCCTAGAGAAGAAGCACTCGAAAAGAACAAGTGTGGAAAGACTGGGGAAAAAATGACAACACAGACAAATAGGCACCTGCCATCTGCCTCCGGCACAACGTTATAGTTAAACACCGCAACAAACGTCCTCCGTATGTGAGCCGGGAGTGCTAAAATAGTGTAATTAGGTTAGAGCGAGAGTGGACTGACATCAGCACGTCCTGATTTGCGCTCTTGTGCATTTGTGTCCATAAACCCAGAGTCCATAAATCTTTGTTTGACATTGCGGCGTAGGTGTAAACGGCGCTATCTGAGACGAGAACAAATGGAGAGAACAGTCCCCTGAGAATGTGTCAAATGTCACCCTCTAGACATTCGACGAGAGGTCTATTGTTTGTTTTCACGGCTGGTAATAGCATCATTTTTTCCTGATTTTGAATTGGTGTCAGGAATAGTAAATAGAATTGTTATCTGGCAGCCAGATGCAGGCTCTCCCACCTCTGCTCCTTAAGCGATTCTTATTGTGTTGTACTAAATTACATTTCAGCTTGGATTGTTTAGTTTAATTTGTCTTAAGAATGCTGTGGATCTCAATATGTCTCTCTCTCTCCCCCACCCACTCCTGTTTGCTCTGTATCTTCTCTCTAGCTATCATATCAGCTCCTCCAGAGCTCATCGCCTCCCAGCACTGTAGCGAAACTGTTTATGGATGTTGCCAAGACAACAAGACCGCTGCCCTGGGTGTTGGACTAGCTGGGTGTCCTAGTACGTATAACCATCATGAAACCTCTTCTATCGACTAGTTCAGTGGCGTGCAGCTGAGTTTGATTTACGACATTTCATTTATAATACATTACAATAAAACACAATTATTAAAATTTTACTCATTTTTAATTTTCTGATTTTTGTCTTCACGATGCGGCCAATCAAAACAAAACTCTTAAACTATAAGCATACATTTTCATAATAATAAATATTACAAGATATTTATGTTTAATTATCCAAAATGTGAGTGGATGAACTTTTAGTTACCACAGTATTAAAATTCTGTCCGATTCTAAACGCTTATTTTCTTTTAATGGCCAATAACAGATAAATGGACAATGTGCTGTTGCACTTTGTAACCCCGACCACAATCTAATCTCATAAATCCAAAATATCACATCCACTATATACAATATTAAACGCTAAATATGGTTGGGTACATATTATAGATAGTGTACCACTAAAAACCTTTCTTCTTCTTTAGGTGTGTGTCAGTGTAACCATTACGGCTCATACAGAGGCACCTGTGACCCATCCACCGGCCAGTGTTCCTGTAAACCCGGCGTCGGGGGACTCAAGTGCGACCGCTGCGAGCCCGGATTCTGGAACTTCCGAGGCATCGTTACAGAAAACATGAGTGGCTGCACACGTAAGCATCCCTCTCTTCTCTCTTCTCTCTTTCCTGGTGATTTGCTTTTGTGGCATTTTCTGTTAAATGTGTTAAATGTTCCTTTCTAATCCAAAATCCGAAGTGACAACCTACTCGTTTAACGTGTGCTATCCTTCCGGCCTCAAATGCGATTTCTGTCAAAACAAGCGTTTCGAGTTAAGCCTCCGAGCCACTGCTGGTAATGGAAACTGCGAAAGAGTGCAACGTGGCTTGACCTATAAGTTCTGCCTACAGACCAATAATGCTCTGATGCACGCATTTGTGTGTTTTTATGCCGCTACAAAGACGAGTTTAGAAAAACAAGCGTGATTGAAACAGTTTATGCTCTGTCCCAGGGGTTCTCGGAGCATTAGCACATTCTGTAGCCACGTTTGTTCTCACCCCAGGGCTTCTTGACCCCGCTTTGAACTCCACCAGGCTGCAGTCATTGACACAGAGCGAGAGCTATTGCTGTAGCTGTGGGGTCACAGATTGGAGCAGCTTCAGATTGCCTGCATGTATTTGGCGAATGTGTGGATGTTTTTGTCAGAGTGAAATTGAAGAGAAAGAGACAAGGAATCTAATCAAAACTGTTCAACCAGTTAAGGCTGACAGCCCTCTCCCTCTCTCTCTCTTCCTCTCTCTCTCTTCCTCTCTCTCTCTCTTCCTCTCTCTCTTCATCAGCATGTAACTGTGATGGAGTGGGTTCGGTTCGTGACGATTGTGAGCAGATGTCAGGGCTGTGCTCATGTAAGCCTGGAGTTAAGGGCATGAAATGCAACGTGTGCCCTGACGGCAGCAAGATGGGAGCCAACGGCTGTGACAAAGGTAACGCCGGGATTTTAATTAGCACAAAACTCAGACAGTCTCTCCAGGATTGCAATTCTGATGCAGCTACGTTATGGTTTTATGAATTATAATTAGGTCTGTTTTTCGCAATGTTGGGTACATGTAGAAATAATAAAAATGACGGCACTGGTTAATTAATAGTCTTTGTTAATTAAAAGTGTTCTGACAAAAAAGGCTTTTAGTGTCATGTCAGAACCATGGCATAGTGGTAAGATCTCATTGGGATGTGAGTTTAAATCCGGCAGTAAGCATCAAATAGTCTGAGGTAGCAATTAGCAATGTATCTGGTACCAACTATTATTAATTTTATTTTGGATGATTAAAGCCCACTGTATTTTTCATATTTATATTACATTAGCCATCATTCAACACTCACTGAAAGTTAACACTTAAAACACTAATAATTGAATAACCCTGTTAAATGTAATATTTAGCAAGTCTGAAAATAAATATACATTTTTATACATTATAATTTTGCCATGTTTTAGAATATGATTACATAATTCAGACAAAATATTATGGAATATAATATTGACCATTTACTGGTTGGTTTTATTACATGTGTGACGACCCCGGGCTGGACTCCGCTTCGTCCACGGTGAAAGCTGATCCGGTGATCCACAGCGCAAAATTGTTGTATTTCCTCAGCAACCTGCACAGATCAGCTCCAGACATGACGAAGTAGATATATCGTCCTCTTTTGGAAGGCCAAACAAAGTAGTTTCGCTTTCACAACGAAACACACAGCGCCTTCACGACATGGCGGTAGCAACAACAATACTACAGCGAGAATAAAAGTTACGCCTTCTTTCTTTGTGTGAACATTTGGGTGGCATTATGCGAATCTTCCCACATCGGGACGTAGACATGTGGGGGTGTGTTAGAACGAGCTGTTTTAGGTAGGTGTGGCTGACTCTTAACTTTTATAAAGAATATCTCTTTGGATTTGAGTCTTTAGTCTTTGCAACTTTACAGATGTTCTTTATGCACCAAGAGCTTGTAACACTCTAAAGAGAAAACTAAAAATTTAAATCGCATCATATGACCCCTTTAAATAAAAATCTTATTTAAATGTCTAATAGTATCTTATAAGATATTTAATATCTGTCTTAATAAAATAATAATTTTATTTGAATAATTAATTTCATTTCAATGAATTATTAATTATTATAATTATTATAAAAGCTGATACTACAGTATACTATCATATACATTAAAAAATAGAAATGGAAATAGAAAGCCCATTTTAAAAAAATCCAAATAATTATCTACTTTATACTAAATATTCTGGCATTATTAACAAATGGTTGTAAAACTATGTTTTAATTTGTTCTACATTCGGCTGTATGCTATAATCAGAATAAATCAATGGAGTTCAAATTTGAATCTTCAAATGCACACCAGGGGTGACAGTGAAATGCTATCCTGATGTCACCCCCTGTGTTGGCATGGTGAGTAGAATGAAGTCACCGTCAGCTATTGACAGGAAGTGAAGAGTTTAATGAACTCAACAGTCCCAGCATAGAAGTGTTCATGCAGCGTCCCTGCCAGATAAAAGCTGCCACATGAAAGTGCAGAAGAGGAAGCCAGTCAATGCTGCAGGCCAGGCAGTGCAGCCCAGCGCTCTGATGTCAGAGTAAAGAGTAGACTTCTGTGGCAGGCGAAGTCCCGGCTCTGCTACTGATGCAAGTCCAACTTTCTGATGAATATCTGTGGTGGAGGTCGCAGGGTTCGTATCAGAAGTGGATTAACAAGTAGCCTGCACTTAAATTACCAGCATATATTGTGTTTTGTGGTGATGGTTTCCCCACATGTTTGTCAATGACACCCTCAAAAAGATCCTTTTTGTTTTAGTACTAAATATATGTTAGGTATTAACCAGAGGCCAATCTATTCTACAGGACCTGAGGCACCCAAGTCCTGTGATGAGCTTGTGTGCCACTTTGGGGCATCATGTGTAGAGGTGAATGGACAGGCTCACTGTGAGTGCCCGTCACCAGATTGTGATGAGAAAAACAAGCCCAAGGTGAGCTTGCATAAGTCACAGATCCATATTCTACACCTACTGTAATGATGAAGATTTCTTTTCTAATAATAGACATGGACATGTTTGTGGACAGGTATGTGGTTCTGATGGGGTCACCTATGCAGACCGATGCCAGCTGAGGACCATCGCGTGCAGACAAGATAAGGAGATCACTGTGGATCATTTAGGCCAGTGCAAAGGTGAGATTAGCTCTTGAAATCAGATGTATTTGTTTTTTGGCACTAATGCATACAGATGTCTAAGAAATGTGTAAATGATAAATTAAGAAAGTTGTTGGATCATGAACCTCTATTTCTGTCCTCATGATTCCTTTAACTGAAAAAATACTTCATTATTGTTGTCTTTTTTCCAGCAAAATATTACAAACATGAATAAGCCAAGATAAACAGGCTACTTGATAAAGGGAAATTAAAAATGCATAATATAGTCTTAGATAAAAATGTGAAAAAATTTCTTCAGAGTATACATTTTTGTACTTTTACTGTATTTTGGGGATCATTTCAACAAAATTTTGTCAGAGAATGTATTTTTTATTTATTTATTTATTTTATTGTATTTTTAACAAATGTCAGGGAATGATTTTTGAATTTTAATGTATTTTTATGTTAAAATTCTAATGTTTTTTATTGTATTTTTATTACATTTAGTCAGGAAACGTATTTTTTTATTTATTTTGATTGTACTTGTAACAAAATTGAGCGACAATACTAGTGGGGGGAAACAATACAATAAAAATTATTTAATTTTGTTTTTATAAAATTCACACTATTATCTGAAAAACTCTTATGCACAAAATTGATTTACAGTTAAGGATGTTTAGGTGTTTTAACTGGAAAACAAGAGAATAATACTGATTAAGGAAATTAATTTCTGCAGTTTTACAGGGTTTGTTGGGACAAACTGCATGGCCCATAGTTGGGGTCACTGGGTGTGCAGTTGTGTGTGTGGGATGGGTATGGGGGGTTTTGATGTGGATGGCGGGTGTTCAAGGGAACAGGAAAGCTGCCTGACAGATGCTCCCCTGTAGATAGAGTCTTTGAATCCTCTGGAACAGCGCGACATTTGAGCTGTTTGATTTGCATCACCCCTGTGTGGATTAGGGAGGTTTAACTGCGCAGTCTGAAGGACTGCACCTGAAATCCGGCTGCTGATGCTGTCGGGAGGCCTGCTATGGGTAGAGCAGGCTGTGTAGAGAGTTGGGCATCGCTGTCATCCTCTCTGAAATCGTTCATCGGTTGCTGTGTACATGCGTGGGCAAAGGGACCTGGTAGAAGCCCAAGGTTAAGACTTTCATGTCGGCTGTATGTAAGAAGCACTATGCCAGCTCACGTCAGAAGGCGTTCTGCAGGGAGCTTCTCTGAGATGGGCATGGCACATGGTGGACATTTTCAGCTGCCGAATCCTGGATCAGGGCCAATGGCAGGTGCCAGACATTTTCAACAGCAGCCCATGCAGCCACTCTGTCAGACCTGTTAATGCCACATAAGTGCAGCTTGATCTAACATATCTGTTGTGTTGTTTTTCATAGCTATTACCAGGTCCTTATGGATTCTCTGCCAACAGAGCATTCAAAAAGTTCAGCACATCGAACATTCCTTGCCTTCAATATAAAACCATTTCGTATTCCTGGTGTAATTGTGAACAATTCCTTAGTGTTATTTTAAAGTCAAAAATGTCTTGGTTAATTTTAACCAAAATGTGAACTTGCTTTTCCAATGAAACACTGTTCTATTTCCGCTGATGTTATTGAGGTCATTCAGGCTATTGGATAATGTTAATTGGATAATTTTTTTTCAAACTCCCATTCGGTTTAATTCATCCTGGTATGTAACGCTCATTTTTTACTAGTGATAGAACAATACGTCAGCCAGGACAATTAATATTTGGCCATTTTGATGAGGCATCAGCTGATAAACTTGTGAGCAATTGAGTTCATACATTTGTATGTAAATGTGTGTGTGTGTGTGTGTGTGTGTGTGTGTGTGTGAGTGATGAAGTAACATGTAAATCTTGAGTTTTTGTCATAAGTAGCGCTGTGAGAGATTTGATATTTTGTCGATGGCTTGGCTTCTAATTCAGGGACATCGCACCTCTTTTTTACACATAGTCCTGCCCCGCCCCCATGTAATCTCATTGGTCCAAAATTCTGCTCCACTTAGCTAAATACTACACTTCAAAAATTACTTAAGACTGGAACCATAGTTAGTCTCATTAGGACTAGAGGCACAAACTGATAGATTTTTTTTCTGTGGTGTTTTATTTACTTAAACACATTGTTAATAGAGCTTAACTTATTTTGAATCCAGAATCGAATTTGTGAGTAAAAAATATTTGTAAAAATTACCCTTAATTCTTATCCAGTAAATCATGAACAAGTGGAAAAATCATGCTGCTTCAAATATTGTTGTGGATATTGGGGGCCTTGGAGTCAAAATAGTGAGAACCACTGTTGTACAAAGTGATGAAGTAACATGTAAATCTTGAGTTTTTGTCATAAGTAGCGCTGTGAGAGATTTGATATTTTGTCGATGGCTTGGCTTCTAATTCAGGGACATCGCACCTCTTTTTTACACATAGCCCTGCCCCGCCCCCATGTAATCTCATTGGTCCAAAATTCTGCTCCACTTAGCTAAATACTACACTTCAAAAATGACTTAAGACTGGAACCATAGTTAGTCTCATTAGGACTAGAGGCACAAACTGATAGATTTTTTTTCTGTGGTGTTTTATTTACTTAAACACATTGTTAATAGAGCTTAACTTATTTTGAATCCAGAATAATCTTCTTTACCCCTTTCATTTTCTAGTTTCTCTGCTTTTCTCTCACTCTTTTCTCTCTCTGCCTCTTTCAACTTTACTTGCACCTAAAATACACACACTCGTACAATGTTATGAAAAGACAGAAAGCCATCTTAATAACAGCCTTTCACGAGTAAGTATACGGCTATGGCGACTGAAGATGACAATGATTTTTGCGTCTTCAAATTAGGAGTTTATTGAGGCAGAAGTCATAGTTAACAGTTAGTTAATAGTGAGAATTGGTCCTCAAACTAAAGTATGACCACATACTGTAATAATCTATGATTATTGCAACTTCAAAAAATATACAGTATGTATATATATATATATATATATATATATATATATATATATATATATATATATATATATATATATATCAGAGATCATGCATCTTTGAAAAAGACTCTTGCATTGGTAATGTCTTTCAGTTTGAGCTCAGCTGCTGCAGTGGAGAGGTTTGCGATCGTGTTGACAAGGCTACAGTGGTTGGAGCGTCGACGGATGCCTGCACGAAGTGAGGGCTTCCTTTGAAGCTGCTGCTAAACCCTGCTTTTCTGCCCTATTTATATCAATCATTCATCACTAGAGTTTCTGGCTGTCTGTGATTAAAGCCTCCCTACAGGAGGGTAACATCTGAATATGTATATATAATTCATATCTACAGGCACTCTCTCACATGCACAAGCACACTCTCTCACAGATCAGCCATATTCTGCAGTCTCAACCCCAGTAGTATATAAACACTTTTGGTCAAGAGTCTGTATAATGATTGGGATGAGCTTGTGGAAAACCTAGCTTTTAAAAACCTCAAAGAATCACAACAGAAAGACACGGTGCAGCATCCTGGATCTTCTACATGTGCAGTTCATTAATTTTGTGGGTAATTTAAAGGGATAGTGTACCCAAAAATGAAAATTCTGTCATTATTTTTCTCTCTCTTGTCATTCTGAATCTGTTTGACTTCTAAAAGCTAAAGTTTAAAGAATACCCTGGCCGCTATTCTTCACCGTAATGAAAGTGAATGAGTACTCACACTGTCTAGCTTCAAAATGAGAATAAAGCATCATGAAAGTGGTTCTTCTGAAGTTGAGTCTTCTGAAGCCATAAAATAGCTGTGTACAGGATAAACCAAAATTTTAAGAGGTAGCTCACCCAATAATACAATCATTTTGTTGCAAACCTGTATGACTTTATTTCTTCAGTGGTACTTAAATACAATATTTAAGAAATGCTGTTAATGTCTCTAAAACTATTTGAGTACCAACATTTGGTTTTCATTTTGGGTGAACTCAAGTCATTATTCACTGAAAATCTTGACAATCCACTCTAGCTCTTCTTGGCTTGTTCGTTAGAGTTTATGGGACTAGAATGAATCATTCTTTAAGTCACATATTTTCTATAAATTGGCTTATTCAGTTCACAGAAATGTTCTGAATGATTAATCCAACTGATCCAGATTTCACTGACAAGGAATATATCAGTCATTTTGATAATTTTTATTCTGCCTTTTTGAAGCTTGAAAACTTTAGTCACCAGTCATTGTAATTGTACGGAGAAGAACAACAAGGACATCATTCAAAATCTCTCTTTTTATGTTCCACTGAAGAAAGAAAGTCAGAAGTTTGGAACAACATGGGGTGCAAGTAAATGACAAAATGTAAATTTTTCGATGAACTAAGGCTACGTCCACACGAAGCCAGAGCTTTCCCTGTCCGATCTTTTTTTCCCCCCTCGTCTCAAGAAATATCTGCGTCCACAAGAAACCACAAAACCGACACAAAAAGATGTAGTATACATGCCAGACCAGTATGTGGTGCTGTAATTCTGCCACAGAGATACTAAAAATGGAGAAGAATACTTGGACTATATGCATAAACCTTGTGTGTGGTATACAAACGAACATGGAACAATAAATGTATTAATCTGTGTCTGGTGTCTGTGTCAGGTGTCTGACTAGGGGCAAGACGTGGGCTGATGACGTCATCGTTTCAGAAAATATACGGATTCGCTGTCCACTCGAAAACGCAAGGGCGGTATTTTCAGATTTATCCACTGTGGGACCCGGTTTCAAAAAATACCAGGTTCACTCTCCCAAAACGCCGGATCCGTGTGGACGAAACGCTTATATGATACAAAATTTAAGGCCCCGTCCACACGGAGACGCATTTAGCTGTATACGCATACATTTTGTCAATTTTTTTAATCCGGGTCCCAGAGTGGATAAATCTGAAAACGCCGCCATTGTGTTTTCGTGTGGACAGCGATTCCGTATATTTTCTGAAACGATGACGTCAGCAGCCCACGTCTCGCCCCTAGTCAGACACCGCTACGTCACGTAACAGCAACCAAAACATGAACAAACACTGAACGATTGTCTTTTTATTAACTAACATTAACACAGATTAATAAATGTAGGTAAAGGTTAAAGGTAAAGGTTTATGCGCATAGTCAAAGTCGTCTTCTCTGTTTTTAGTGTATCTCTGTGGCAGAATTACAGCGCCACATACTGGTCTAGCATGTATACTACATCGTTTTGTGTCGGTTTTGTGGTTTTGTGTGGACGCAGATATTTCTTGAGACGAGGGAGGAAAAGAAATCGGATGGGAAAGCTCTGGCTTCGTGTGGACGTAGCCTAATCCTTTAAGGCTAAGAAAGGGGCTCTTTGCAGGTGTTCAGGTGTTGGGGTGTAATGAAACTTAAGTGATATGTTCAAAACACAATGCTTTTTGCAGGCAGGAGTGGGTTTATTCCTGGTATTTCAGTGCATCTGATTTTGATATGAATCTATGAGGCATACAAAGCATTGCTCAGACTAAGGACACCCTGCTGAAACCATGCTGAGGTTTCCATGGCCATGTTTTGTTTTAATGGCAAAGAGGAATGGGTGGGAGGGTGTAGGTAGAATTCAAAGGTGAGAAAGAAGGCTTATAAAAACATTTCCATCTATGCTTACCCATCATTCCATTCCTGCTTTCTCCCAGAATCCATTGAGCTGATGGCCAAACCCACTCCCTTCCCAACCACCCACCGCACCCCCCCTCCCACCGCTCACGTCAAGATCACCAAACAGCGTCATGGCCACACCACCACCACCACTACTTCAAGCATTCCCGAGGAACTGGACAGCTTCTTGGTGGAGGCACTGCCTCCTCCGAAGGTGATTGAGGCAGGAAAGTACTCCAGCTCTTTCACCACCCACCGTCCCACCACACTCAACAAACCACCCCGCACCTCATCCCCACCCCTGGACTCCAGCCCTGACTTTGATGAATCGGGCAGTGGAGAGCCCAGTGGGGACGAAGAGATGGTGAGCGGAATGGAGGAGAGCGGAGAAGAGCCACTTGGTAATGCATTCACCATAATCTTTCAGTCATAAGGGGTTTAAGCATAATTGTGAAGAACAAATGACAAGAGATGATGAAATTCTCCCTTGTATGGAATGACCTTACGTGTGAGATGACCTTGACTCGAGTTGTAATGGCATATCAATTTAACACTGCCAATTATCTCAGCGCCCATTATTATTTGAGAGGTTTTGACACCTGACATCCAACCGCTAAGTGAGCGGTTTCATTTGGAATCACTTTGATGAATAATTCACCAAAATGACTAGCTTCAGTTTTTAACGTAGCCTAACCTTATGAGCAAGCCTCTTCAAAATGACATTTCAGATTAAGTCGATGCAACCACTGTTCCTTTCTCTCCTCTGAGCTGTTCCTGTACAGTCTGTTTATCAGGAACTGAGCTCAAGACATAGACCTCATGAAATTAATTGACAGTTTTCTTTCCTATGTTGACATATTTCCATTGAAGTAAGAATTTGGGGTGGGACATTTAGAAGGACTCTTAATTTTTAGCTTTAAGTTTAGTGGTTCTCAAATGGTTTCACTCAGATTGTACTTAAGCAGCCCAACAAATATATGACTTATTTTTTATTTGTTTTATTACATTATTTTTTAAATAAATTTTATAAGTATATAAAATTGAAATCTATTTCCATTACATTTCTGTTAAATCCTGTTTATATTCTAACTATTTTTGATTATATAATTGGTTACATTATTGGTTTATTGTTGCCAGACCAGTTGAGAACCACAGCTACTTAACTTGACGGCTCATACCATGGAAGAAAGCAAAAAAGACACTTTCAAAATGAATAATTTCCAGCTGCTACCTACAATTTACAAGTATATTAAATTGTTTATTAAAGAAAATAAAGTATGACGTTAACAGACTCAAATAATCCTTAGTTGCCTCCAACAAGCAATAGCAAGTAGCTAGAAATAGGAGAAGCTGTAATTCTAAAATGAATTCAAAAAATGTATCATGTTTAGCCCATTTTAACAGATTTTTTAAAATGTGGATCTATTCATTTTGTCAACCTTCTGCACACTAGCACAGAAAACTAACAGACATGGGACCAGATTTACTAAACAGGGCAAATTGGCATGAGAGCGCAATTCCAAAAAAGTGCAAATGGGAGTGGAAATTTGTGCGGGTGATTTACTGACAATGCGCAAATTAAAGAACACAGACGGAGCCAGATCATTTCCTTAATGACCAACACAATCTACCAAGAGAAACGCAAATTAGCGTCTGCTTTAAGACATGCTTTTTGGAGCGTTAAATAATGGCGCAAATACCAGTAATTTGACAAGCGCAAACGTTAGTAAATCGCATTGCTTGATTCATTTTAATTCTCTCCTCCCATAAATTTTGCATCTGAAAGGAAACTCCTACAAATGCACATTGAATAAGGTCAGGTATAACTGTGACAATGGCTTTTCAGCACTAATTCTTGACTGCGAGTCTTTAGTAAATCCTGACAGTACTATTTTAACGCCAAAAGACGGTTTGCGCTGGCGCAAGCTGTTAGTAAATCTGGCCCATGGACTCTAATAGCCAAAAAAAATCAAATTTTGTTCTCCACTACAGCCACCTCTAAAATGATAGCCTCTTGGTTGACATACAAGTGACAAATCACTCAATCCCTTTACTTGTTTTGTGTCCTTCACCACTACAATACATAAAGTAGACCAGCTATATTTATTCAGCTAATGCTAGCTTTACTGTTTAACTGCCTGAACTGGTATAAGAGAGACCAGCAGGGCCTCAGATTTATTCTCTTTTCACTGTTGGACTGGAGCGCTCTTTGACACAGGACACATGAAGTCTGTCTGACTTCGGAGTGGGAGGCATCTCTTGGGACTTTCTGATGACTTTCTGCCTCTCAATGAACCAATAGCCTGTAAGGCTGAAGCAGTGTGGCGACCAGCGTGCACCCTGGGGGTAGCGGCTCATAAATTTGCCCACAAATGCGATGAAAAGATGTCCAGGGATGCTTTCCAGCTCTACGCCAAAAGTCATTTTCCACCACTCACTATTTTCACATGCTGCCTCTCTCATACTCACAGAGCCCTTGAACATCTGACAGCTTTATGGCTTGTTTGGCAAGCAGGAGATATTTTGCGCCAACACACAGTGCTAATCTTCTGTATGCATACTTGTAGGTGTGAGGCTGGCTCTGTAGCTAATACAGTTTTAACAAGCTATTGTTAGGGTTTGACTAAATGCAAGTTTAAAAAGTAGGAATACATCAAGAAAGATGTAAAAGTCATTTCGCAACTACTCGCAGATTGTTTACTGCAAATCAAAGAGTCAACCATAGAGCCGTCTGCCTCTGTAATTATTTACACCATAATTTTCCTTCTCCACAACTTGACATGTTAATTGTTTTTGCAAATTATACAAACGTAGAGATATCAGTTTAAACTAGTTGTTGCCTGAAGCATCCAATTCTAGAAATCCTGCTTGTGTGACATCTTCATCTCTCTCTTCAGGTACAACAGTAGCTACTACTACTCTTCCCACAGCTGAAGAAAGGTCATCCTGTGACAACACACCTTTCGGCTGCTGTCCCGATGGGAAGACGGCCGCCATCAGCTCTGAGGGTACAAACTGCCCCTGTAAGTTCCTGCCAATCACTCTTAGCTAAGTGTCACTTAGATAACAGCACATGTTCATTTATTAACTGTGACCAGCTTTATGACCAAGCCGCCAACAGCGAGTATTCTTTTTATCCTGGAAGACTGAGAGGATGGTGAGGAGGAGGTGGTCAGAGTTGTTCATGACAGGGGAAACTACTGTCTAAGAGTATGTAGTATCTTAGACATGCCATATGGGTGTTGATTTTGTGTGCCCAGGGTCCAAAATTAGTACTTGTCATGCGCCAAATGCTTGTAAAAATTGCCTGTTACTCACTAGTTGGCTGGTGACTTAACTGATATGATACATTGTTGAAATTTTATTGAATTGTTTGTATATATACAGTATACATAGGTGTAATTTAAACATATTTTAAAATGTACTTTGTTCCTGTGATGGCAAAGCTGAATTTTCAGCAGCCATTACTCACGTCTTCAGTGTCACATGATCCTTCAGAAATCATTTGAATGTGCTGATTTGGTGCTCAAGAAACATTTCTTCTTATTATTGATGTTGAAAACCGTAGTGCTGCTTAATATTTTTGTGGAAGGCATGATACAGTTTTTTGTTTCCAGAATTATTTGAATATTAAGTTAAAAAGAACAACATTTATTTATTTTGTAACATTAAGAACTTCTTTACTGTCACTTGATGCATTTATTTTGTCCTGACTCAATAGTTAGTATTAATTTCTTTCAAAAAGAAAAAAATCTTACTAACAACTAACTTTTGAATGGTAGTGTGTATAAACAGTTAATTTTGGACCCTGAGTATTCCAGATGCAGGGGAGCAGGTTCCGTGTCAGTAGCCGTAGCAAATGGATAAACCAATTCTCCAAAATGTGTTCTGACTGGCATTAGACCAGATGCGTCCATACACACACAAACCTTTTTCTCGCACCAGCCCCATCTGTTTTATAAGAGCAGAAATTACACACAATGGAGACTAATCAATACAGGACAGACAGGAAGTGGCAGGCAGATGTTTTGTGCTCTTTGTATGGGAACACTCGGTCAAGTGCTCTCGTCTCTTCTCATATCCGTCAGGCGGGTCTCGTAACTCCCCACCGTTTATTGTCGATGTGTCACAGCGGCCGGGAGCGAGGGCCCTAATGTCCATTGCGTTCAGTCTCTGCTGTCAGCTCGAGCTCTCCCCATGTCTCTCAAGCACTAAGGAGAACTTCCCCTCTTATCAAACTGTTTTACTGAAAGGCTGAAAACAGCAAACAGTGCAGTTTTCCCCTGCTGCCTGAATGCGATGTTAGATATGTTTGCTTCCCAATGTTATGAGGGGAAATAAGCTTCCCTATTGAAAACCTGTTTAACCAAGTTATAATTGATTAGGTCAGGTTGAAATAAATCAATCCGGTTTTCCAGTGCTCAGATTATAATCTGTGATATATATATATATATATATATATGAAAAAATATTTAGATCAAATATATACTGTATTTCTATGCATGTATGTATCTTTATATGTACCATATTCTTAAATATACTACAAAATACATTGTCATGCCAAGTGAGAAATATTAATGTCTGAATTTTCTCAATTTACTTGACCAAAAATTCATTTTGGACCCTGAAAAAAGTATTTAAAGAATAAAAGTCTTACAATTCTTTTACTGCTAGAATCATGCTACTGTTATTATTGGTGTTTATTATCCTCTGTTTTCCTCTATGGACCAATTCTAAGCCTATGATTTAAACTAGAGTCTTAGATGCCTCTACCCCACCCCAATGCATAAAGGTTAAAATGTTAGTTAAGAATGAATTTACATATCTAGTTTAAAGTAAAATTTCATAGCTCATTGTACAACAGAAAGCCATCTGGACTCTTTGTAACCAAAGATAAGGACAGTTTTAATGAGTACATGCTAGAAATGATGGACCACAGCCGTATTGTGATGGAGAATTTGGGACTCTAATTTGAATCCACATCTAAAGCCTGATTTCTCCACATGTCTTTGCACTCTGTGGGAAATTCCTGTCCTCAGATGTTTCCGATTTAGAATCTGATCGCTGTTTCCCTCCATCTCTCTTCACATTCAAATCTCCCCCATTTGCTCCTTTTTGAAAGTCCCATCAGATACGAGGTGATGTGTGTCTGTGCAAAAAAGACCCTTATCATGCAGTTTTAACCAGCTTCTGTCACTCACCCGTTCCTGGGATTAGAAGACAATTACGGCTATCTTTCACGATAATCATACAAGTGCTTATCCCGGTCCCAGCCAAGCTGGAGCCTAGCCGGCATGATTGATTTGGGCAATTTGTTCAGCTGATTACATGCTGCACAGAACTCAGCATCAGGCCCGCTCCCCGCTCTCCTTCAGTCGTTTATTCATTATTTATTTCTCTCAGTCATGTAAAAACAGGCCTCTGATCCTCTCACTCTTTCCGCTTATTAGTGTCAATGAGAAAGGTCAGCAATAACCTTAAAGGAATGTTTAATGATGACCCCGACCCTAGTCGGGAAGTATGAAAGTGTCTTTTAACCTATTATCTATGATATATTGTGCAATGTATGTCAGTGTCGCTGTCTAACCGATCTCTTTCCACTCAGTCCTCCATGCCAGCTTTTGGGAAGAGTCTCGGTCTGGTAAACTCCAGTCCATCCTTCCTTCCAGACCTTTATCCATATTCTCACATACTTCCCTATACCTCCACCTCCACTGCGAATTAATCTCTTTCCCCACTCGGTGAACTCCACGACTAACCTCACAGAAGCTCCATCACTAACTAACAGACTGGCATTGCACCAACCACAAGTGTGTGTAGCTGAGAGTGGACTGGCACTGTGCGTTTCATCTAAGTGTCTTTTATATAACCATATATGCTTCCCTGCCTTGCCCACAGCCACCATGCGTTTCAGCGGCTTACTGCACCTGGATAAGGTAGAGGGTCAGGAGGTCTTCTACACGCCTGAGATGGAGGACCCCAAGTCTGAGTTGTTTGGCGAAACGGCCCGGAGCATCGAAAGCGCTGTGAGTTTTGCAGCTCAAACTTATACTTGAGTTCACTTTCAGTTCAGCTTTGAAAAGAAGTTCAGGTTTCGGTTACAGTTTCATTTTATAAAAAAAAAAACTATCAAAACTACATTATGCCGCTTTAGTGATGCTTCATTTTTCAGTCATGTGGCAGTATCTCAGCTGTTTCAAAACACTGTAGCTGTTCCAAAAAGTAGCAGAATTACTGAAACTTGATTTGAAGATTAGTTTCTTGTTTATCACTGATTCTTTTCTTGTTGTATCTACCTTTTACTTCTCCATCCAGTCTCTTTTCTCTTGAGGTTGGCCCCATGGAAATTAATGCGGAATGCTGGAATTATCCAGCGAAATAGGTTGAATGTGACTTTTGAAAAAAACATGTGTCTGGTGATCTGTCAGTCTCTCGCAACCCTCTACATTGTGAGTAAATCACTCGCATATGCGACTAAATCTTCACTCTGGGCGACTAAATGATGTCTAATATTAGCCAATGGCTAATCAATTCTCAGATTTTACTCGCCAGTGTGTGAGTTGGATGCTGAGTATATGATTAGCACAGATATATTTTCACTCACAGAACACTCTGCCTGAGCGCTTCAGAGTTTCACTCTCCGTCAAGCGATCTGTGATATTTTTCAGTTCATTTGAATGGATGCGCAGCGCACCTCTGTTTGTGTATTTGGCGTAATGTGTTTCTAGTGTGAAGGCGCACGACTCGCCGTCGCTTTCTCTCACTGTGAGCAAAGCATAACATGCAGCATTGATGCGCTACATGTAAACGAACTGCCGGGTTTTCCTGTAGTAGGCGGAACTAATGCGCAAACGACAATATATATACACACCGGGATATAGTATAGTATTTCAGTCTGGCGAGTAACCAAAAAAATATACTAGCCAATGGCGATTCAATTGCCAAGATGTCCGTAAAGGGTTGCTCTGGAAAGGCAGTGCATTAGCATAAAACTAATATGCTGTTTAAATTTCACTGTGACAGTTAAATATAAATAAATTTAATTAAAACAATGGCATGTAGCTTTCAAGTATTTCTCAATCAATTAAATATTGCAAATTTTAACAATTAAATTCAAATTCAATTTTTGTAATTATTTATTCCCAAAAATGTAAGGTACATTACAAAGACAAAAAAGCAGGAACATGGGAACAAAACAAATAAATAGAACCAAAAAACAGTAAGATAATAATAGTGATAGTGAACAATTACAAACAAGATAGATAGACATATATTATTTATTATACTATTATCTTTGCATTGTTTTATTTGTAGATTTTCAGTTTTCATTTTAATTTTAGTTTAAATTTCATTTACATTTTATGTGCTTTTGTCAATTTTATTAGTTTAGATTTTGTTTTAATAAAATTTTGTTTTTTTATTAGTTTCTGTAGATGATGGTTTAGTTTAGTTTAGTTTTAATTGCAAAAAGCTATTAATAATAGTTTTAGTTAACAGTATCAATACTGGCTGGTATTTTGGCCTCAATGCACCGATACTTTTGACATACTGATAGCCTAGCTTCCTTCACTGAGTTTTTCTTGCATTCTTCAGCTGACACTGCAAACTACCTGCCGGAATCTGCTGAAGAAGCTGGTGATTTGTTCTCGGTTTGTTAACCCATTTAGGGCGTGTCTAGGAATGAAGTGCAGTGCAATAATGAGTTCCACTTATCACTCTAATGTTAGCTAATGCTATGACCGAGACTAAGCGAGGATGTAATCAGCCTTTCTCTAGGAGCGCTCTAGCTGACACAGAAAGCTAATCCCCCATACTTCACTCGCTCACTCTGTGAGGTCCAAATCTCAAATGGGGCCATAGTCCGTAAAGAGCCAGCAACTGAAATGGTTTCACTTGCCTTGAGCGTGTCCTAATCCCGCTTCATGATGTTCATGATGCCCCCAGGTTTAACAGAGCAACCCCTCCCCTTCATGCCTCTAAATCTCCACCCTGTCTTTCCCTTCACTTAATTTCAACCCTGTTTGCTAGACTCTGTGTAAGCAGTTTCTGAAGATTAAGGCCAGTTTCTGGGTCAGCATTTCCATCTGGCTATGCTGGGCAGCCTGGTTTTGTTGGGGGTCTCTCCAGCGAGGCCTGAAGGAAGGGAGGGCGCGTCTCCTTTCATTTCTTGCCCAGCATGGATCCAAAAGTACAATGAACTCACACAGGGTCAGCCTAGAGGCAAAAGCCATTATGTCTGTGACAACTGTGCGCTTTTCCAAATTCAAGTGCAGCTGTGAATGAAAAGAGTGAAGAAGGAAAACACAAGGCCCTTGGGTGACTTGAATGGGGTACTCGATGGACCTCCTGCTGAGGCACTCTAACAGAATGTGCACACACATCAGAAAGCACTTGAACAACTCACAAAGCGGTTTGTGAGTCGATTGAGTGCATCCTAATTGGAAACCACTTCTCGTTTGCTCTAGTTTTGACCAATTAGGTGCACTGAAATGAATTTGGTTTTGGTAAAATGGTCTTTGTATTCTGGGAACCAGCAGCAACTAAGCTCCTGTTACATTAGACCAAATCGGTGACAGAACTCCCCTACATGTACCAAGGTGAAAACTGAACCAATTCTTAACAGGCAGTGTTGTAATCTGACATTTACCGCTGACTTCGAAACGTGTTCACGTAATTACTTTTGCGCTGTAGTTAAATGTCAATTTGTGCAACGAGACCCGATGGGGTTCAGTAGAGTTTTTCCACTGACACACTTTCTCATCCTGTGGAGGAATGTGGTGTTAACAAGAACTAGATCAGCATATCGAGCTTATTACCAGTTCACATATTGCACTTGGGGCATTTACTTCTTTGTTTTTCTCTGTCTTACTTTCTTTCTGCTTTTATTTTCTCCAGCTGAATGAATTGTTCCACAAGTCAGATGTCCAGAAAGACTTCCAGAGTATCCGTGTGAAGAATCTGGCCCCCAGCAACTCCATACTAGCCTTTATTGAAGCTCACTTTGACCCAGGTAAAGTTTCAAATTCCAAACCTGCTCCAACACACATACCTGTAGTTTTCAAATAGTCCTGAAGGACTTTATTAGCTGGATCAGGTGCGTTTAATTAGGATTGAAGCTCAAATCTGCAGGACTGTAGCCTTCCAGCAATTGAGTTTGGCACTCCTGATCTAACGGCTCAATCTCCCCCACAAAATTAGCACTGAGCACAATGTGGACACTTTTAGCGATCTTGTGTGATGGAGGCTAGATAGTGGCTGTGAAGAGGTGCCTGCTTCATGCTAATTCGAATCCTGCTTGGAGCATTGTAATTAGGACCAGTTAAATTTTCTACCGTGACCCAGATGGGAAGTTCGGGGGGTTGAGTGTAACAGTGGCCAACTAGTGGGAGCTGTGCAGGTAAACCTCACTCTCCAGGCCTTAAGTGGCACACAAATGAGTAGGGGTTGTGGTCTTTAACATCCTTGTAAACATGCCTGCCTCCCATGCCGGTTGACCTTGGTTTGAATCCCACTCCGAGCATTGCGCATAGGACCAGTTACATTGGTGCCGTGACCCGGATGGTAGTGAGGTTTAGGCGGGTGAGTGTTACAGAGGACAGCTAGTAGGAGGTGTACAGAAACCTCACTCCCCTGGCCTCAAGAGGCGCATTAGTGACTAGGGCAATGGACTGCTGTCTTGAGTGTGGGTGTTAGCACACCCACCTCCCATGATGATTGATGCTAGTTCAAATACCGCAGACTGAGTTGGACCAGTAACACTAGCAGACTTTAAACTGAGCCTGTCTAGCATGCTATGCCACAATAATACAGCATCACTACTCAATGCAGGCTCTTTAAAATGCTGAAAGTGCACTTGACTACAGTGCACATCTGGACGTATGCCCAGTTATAATGCTTTTCTCCATTATTTGATGACCACTGATTAATAACAGTTGCCATGACAACAAACATCTCTTAAATAAAATCAAGTTTACCACCAACTTTCCATGGACGGTAATAGTGCAATGTTTAATAAAATAATTTTTTTTAATAAAATTAGCCTAATTTGCATAGACAATGGGGTGTGTTGCACTGACAAGAATAATTGTAACTTAATTGAAATATTTTAGTGCATTTATCTGGATTCAACTGCATTGATTGTGCTTAGTGAAGACTTTTTGCACTAAAATACAGCACTGTTTAGTGAATTTGCCCATCGATGTTCTTTATTATCTGTCTCCTCCAGTCGTTCTGTTTTTCATTATCCTGTTTTTATTTACTTTCTTTTTTCAAGCTGCTTCTAATTTATTTCTAAAGCGGCTCTAATACACAAAGCACACAGTCTGACTTATACCCTCCTCCCACATCGAAATTCCCCCAGTCTAGAAACATGCCCGCAGCAAGAAATAAAAAGCACATAAAAACTCCCTTGTATGTTTGAAGAAAATAATAATTCAACACAGCAGAATGAGGCGTATAAGTTAAGTAAAATAATCCCTGAAGATACAGCTCTCGTCCTTTCTGTCTGCCGGAGCGGTCAGAGAGCCTGGCCTTTTTAGTGAGGTAATTTATCAGCAAGGGGTTCTGAAAAAGCTCCTTTATTTCAAGTCTCTATCGCTTCTCATGCTTTTAAAACCCTGAGCATCACACTAGCTGATCAAAATCTCCTTCACTATTCTCTTTTTATTGATCCCCTTTAGCGGCACAAGAGCACAATTCTAGCACAAGTGCCTGTCATAAAGGCGGTCTGTGGTGGCCAGTAACAGGGCCATCTGTGGAAGCGTTATTAGAGTGTTTCATCTCAACGGCCCTGAAATGCATGACGGTTCAAGAACAGCTTCTCCCAAGGGCCTATTACACGCAGGCTTTTCTGTATATATTTGCAGTATGTTATGTCAAGTGCAAGGGTGGTGGGGCTGGTTAGTGCCGGTTCTTCATACTCTACTGTGCAAAAGGTTCACCTCTGGCTCTGTTTAATGTTGTGTTCTCATGCTACAGACACAAGGTTCAGTGTGGAGGATATTGAGGGAGCCCTTCTCAAACAGCTCAAGGCATCTAAAGACACAGGTATCGTTGTGAAGAAACCTGAGGAAGACAACATCCGCATCACCACCTATGGTAACCTGCTTGAAATTGCTTTTCCGTCTTTTTTCTTTTTCTCTTGCTGCCTTTTGTTGAATGTGATTGCTCTTCAAGCTGGCATTTGATAGCCATGAGTGCCCGCAGGACTCGCATAACTCAAAAAGATCCAGCTTATTGAACGTGAGACTGCATGTCTCAGCCTAAGATTCATTTGTCAAGAATTAAATATGTCTACCCTGACTAAGGCCTGTTAACCTATTTTTTCTTTCTCTCCATTTTTTAGGTCTTTCAGCTGTTCCTTTCTTCACGACCACGACAACCACCGTGGCATCAGTCACAACTCCCACCACCACAATGCTGTCTCCCACTTCTGCATTTACCACGCTCCACCCGACCACCACCAGACGACCCTTCACCAGCCGCAAGACCACCACAGCCTCACCAGCCACCACCACTCCATCCCAGACCCCCACGACCACAGTCTCCCTCAAGAACAGATTGATGGTCCACGCCAACAGTCTATGCGACTCCCAGCCCTGCCGTCACGGTGGAACCTGCGAGGAGGAGGATAATGACTTCACCTGCATCTGTCCTGCAGGAAGAGGAGGAGCCGTGTGCGAGAAAGGTGAGGAGAACAACAAAAACTAGAAAAAAATCTGTACATTGCAGAAACAACTGATTGAAAGGGTGAATCTCATAAAATCATAACCAGGTCAAATTTTAATGAACACATAATCAACAGAAAAAAAATATTTCCATAATAAAACAAAAACAAAGTTTTAGGACCATTTAAGATTTATTTGTTGCATTATGATGTTATTTTCATGAAAATTAAACACATTTTTCCTATACAATTTTTTATTATACTCATTACTGCAGTGTGTCTGGACAATTTAATTTTGAGGGATTTTTTTGGTAATTATAATTGTTCTTAGTGGTGATTTTTATTAAAATGCTGTAATAAGATGTTTGTTTATGTTTTTTAAGGCGGTACAACAAATACTACCATAAATAGTTTACAATTTTAAACATTTTAATATATCAGTATTTTAATAGAATTTATCATATATATTATATATTTAAATAAAATAAATATATGCTTTTTTGCATTATGCTAATGTGACTTTGGGAAGGATTTGTGTTTTATTATAATGCAGTCATAATGCAGAAAAAGCCTAGCATTTATTTTTATTATATAATAATTTTCTTCAAGCAAAGTATCTTTCTCTTGGTGAGAAATAAAAACCACAATAGAAGTACACTTGAATATTTCAGATATGTTTGAATATTAATTATTATTAATAAATGATTGCAATTAAATATGCATTATTTATAACTTATTATTTATTATTAATATTCTGGCATATTTGAATACTTTGAAGAAAAAACAAGTATTCAATAAGGATTGAAATTTTGTAGCCCTGCTGTTACCCTGAAGAAATTTTAGCTCAATTCTTTGTCTCTGTTTGTATTGTCCCTTTTGCAGCTGTGTCAGGTTATAATGGACACTAATTACATCGATGAACTTTAGTTAGTATCAAACCGCTGTGAGGTGAAAAAAGCCACTAATTAAAGGCTTGTAAGTAGCCCTCAAACACTACCTCTGATCAATCAGGTCATTAAAGCTTCATCAGCCTTGCATTCTCCCGAGAAAAGGGTGAGAGACAGCCGAGAGAGAAAGAGAGAGAGGTGTTGATACGTTTCTGAGCATGGGGATTCTCTGTCTGGAATGTAAATGTCTAACGGAAAAAAGTACAGGGAGAACTATGGTACTCATCTTTGCAGGTCTTATGTTTTTTCACACTAGGGAATATAACAAACACAAACTGAATGGCACATTACTGTAGTATTGACAGGGGTATCTGTGTTATCTGACGGAGACACGCTTGAGCACAGTTTTGTTTGTCACTTTATCAGTAGAAAGCTGACTGTTAAGGGATTGAAGGCCAAGTTGAGAGTTTCTGATGACCTGCTTTATCTGTCTTCTACCTTCTGTCCTACTCAGTTATAAAGTACTTCATCCCATCCTTTGGTGGTAAGTCTTACCTGGCTTTCCGAACCATGAGGGCCTACCACACTGTGCGCATTGCCATGGAGTTCAGGGCTTCGGAAATGACAGGGATATTGCTGTACAATGGCCAAAAAGGCAAAAAGGACTTCTTGTCTCTGGCACTGGTTGAAGGACATGTGGAGCTCAGGTAAGTAACCAATGGAAAAAAAAAACACATTTGTTACATACTGTAGGGATGGAAATCAGTTCTTATTCAGAGTGATTTTCATGACCATTACAGATCCATTAACCATTTTAATTTGTGATTTTTCTCTGTGAAGGTTTAACACTGGTTCTGGGACGGCTTCTGTGATCAGTAAGGTCCTGGTAAGACCGGGTCGCTGGCATCAGCTCGTAGTAGTGCGTAACAGGCGTAATGCCATGCTGAGCGTGGACAATGAGCCGAGCGTTGAAGGACAAAGTCCCCCAGGAACAGATGGACTCAACCTGGACACAGACCTTTTCATCGGAGGAGTGCTTGAAGACATGATACCAGAGTAATAGAAGCTCCAGAACGCCTCCAAATAACACTAACAAGAGCCTCTTTAGTCTTGTTAGAAGCCATAATGAAACAATATGGAGAATAATAACCTAAACCACTGACTGTCTAAGATTGTCTGCGCATGTTTGCAGAAACCTGCCAGAACAGCTAATATGACTTAATAAGATTGAGCAGAAATAGCCAAATCAAATTAGCATTAATCAAAGATGTTGTGAAACACCTCTTGAGTTCTTGTGGGTCTAATTGAATGTTTTTCCATCTGTTCTCAGTCAGGCAAAGAGTCTCTTTTCTCAAATGAGAAGAAGACGTCTTTGTTTTTTTCATTTAATAATTTCATGCGATTGTTACATTTTCCGTGTCATTTAAGAATTAAGATGAGCATAAAGGAAGGAAGAACTGACAAGACCTCACTTGTTCTTGCAGTCTAAAGGAGAGGACGTCAGTTTCAACAGGCCTGGTGGGCTGCATCCGCATGCTGGACGTCAACAACTTTGTCTATAACCTGCAAGAGAATGGTGACAGCATTCTATACGGCTCAGGCGTGGGCGAGTGTGGCAACAATCCATGCCTGCCGAACCCTTGCAAGAACGGAGCCTCCTGCCAGGTCAAAGAAGCTGAGATGTTCCACTGCAAATGTGTCAATGGCTTCTCTGGTAAGTAAACCTTTTCACTTAAACATATTTCTATAATACTTTCATTGGTTACGCTAATGTTGTCTCAAAAAACAGATTGCTGTTCTATTTGGTGCCAAAAGTGGTGCAGAAATGACAACCTTTATCTATACACTATTGAATTATAAAAGGTTCTGCAGTCACTTTCTGTTGAAGTTCTGAATATCTGGACTTGACTCTATTGATGAAAGATTCAGCAGGGCAGAGGATGCTTGTCTAATCAGTTTTTAGCCTTATGGGTATGTACGAAAGATGAGTGTTTACCCAATAATATGAAGGCAGCAAGGACAAACATGGTGCGAATACAAAAATCTTCACCTGTCCTGAATATACAGTACACACCATGGATAGAAAGTGAATAGGAAAACCGTCGATGTTTTCAGAACAACAGACACAAGCTATATTTCTCACAGTTCAATCAATTAAAAAATCTGATTGTATAAAACAAAATCAAACATTATTCAGCTCAGTCACAGCCACTTTTGAAGCACCAAACTTAATCTGATCGAGTCTCTCATGGACACGCAGGGTTTCTCTTGTTTCTATGTTTATTTATTTATTTTATTTTTGAATAAATGTATGTGTTTAAATAAAATAAAACATAGAAATACCATAACATATTACATATAAATTAAATATTTGTAAAAAAAAAAAAATGAATAAATAATATATAAATATACAATAATATAAAATATATTTAGGAGAGAAATGTGTTTTCTTGAAAATAATTTCATAATGCAAAAAATTAAATGGGATTTATTTTATTTAAGCAAAGCATTTGGCACACCCATTAGGGCAGGTCTCAATATTTCTAGTGCCAATTTATTCTTAGTACCTAATGCCAATGTTATGATTATTTTGTGAAATAATTATATGTGATTATTTTCTGCCACATGAAGTTTTTCCAATATTCAACAAAATTGGCTCAGGTCATGTTTAGACCAAGACTCACAAACATGGATTTTGGAAATTCAAAACCATTTGACTGTAGATGCCAAACAGAAACTTGGATCTTGGATCTTAGTGGGAAAAAGTTATTATTATTATTATTTTTTTTTAATAAAGGCAGAAATGTATAAAGTTACAAAAAATATTTTAAATAACAATATTTTACAACATTACAGCTTTTATTGTATTTTTGAACAAATAAATGCAGCCTTGGTGTGCATAAAAGGAATCTTCTTTCGAAACATCAAGAAACCTTACCAGCTCCAAACTTGTGAACAGTAATATATATTCCACTGGTGTGCTTGGCCCTGTAATTACTGTTTCTGGCTTTCTCCTGTATGTCCATCTTTGCTTTCTCACAGCATAAGGAACGGTAGGAGTCATCCACAAAGAAGTTACAGTGTTCTCTTTGTTCACTTCGAAGAAGCTTTTTTTCTCTCTCCTTCTTGCAGTGTTGCTCCAGACATTTGAAATATTGCCCAGAGTAAATTGCTCTGTTGTTCTGCTCACAAGCCTTTATTGAACAACCTTTATAATAATACAGTTCAATATCTTCCACTTTATTTCAGTGCTGCAGAATGGCTGCAATGAGGTGTGTAGGAAAATGAAGACCCTTTGAAGTAGAAGTGTACACAAAGAAACTGGCTAGAGGGATAAATATGTGGGATAACCTTTAATGTTTAAAGAGCAGGATTTTAAGTTGGTGGGTTGGCGCACTGTCTCCATGATAGAGCAGCCTTATAGTTTGAGAGCAAAAGAGAGAGACACCTAGCAGAGCGTCTCAGAACACGGCGGGGGCTTTCATTACAGCAAGCAGCAGTTGCCGCCCGTGGCGTGATCTCCTACTATGTTCTTTGTGATGATGGGAGTGTTCTGATGAGGCTAGAAGCGCTGACCTGATGGAGTTTCAGTCTTTCAAACCAGGAAGGCACACAAGCACAACATGCAGCACTATGGCTTCATCTAAATTTGTAATAATTTAAAAGAGAATTCTATTTGAAAACCTCTATACTCTTAAAAATAAAGCTTCTTTATTAGAATCTGTGGTTCCATGAAGAACCTTTAAAGGATTAGTTCATTCACTTACAGAATAAAAACAATTTCCTGATAATTTACTTACCCCCATGTTATCCAAGATGTTCACGTCTTTCTGTCCACTTAAATGGTGGCCAATGGGCTGAAGGTCCAAATTGCAGTTTCAATGCAGCTTTAAAGGGCTCTACACGATCCCAGCCTTGGAATAGGGGTCTTACCTAGCGAAACGATCTGTCATTTTCTAAAAAAAATTAAAAAGAAAAATGTATATACTTTTTAACCACAAATGCACGCCTTATTCTAGAAGTGAACTAATCTTTAACATAAATGGAACCTTTCCATTGCACAAAAGGTTCTTTACAGTGGAAAAAAAGGTTCTTATTAAAAACATTCTTCACAATTAGAAAAAATGGTTAAGAACTGTGCACTGAAAGGTTCTTTGGGGAGCCCAAAATTGTTCTTTTACTGCAGGGGTCGGCTTTTTTTTTTTAACTTTTCAAGTTTCTTGAATAACAGATAGCCTATAAAGTGTGACCGTACTGAACACCACTGTGTGTGTGTGTGTGTGTGTGTGTGTGTGTGTGTGTGTGTGTGTGAGACAAGGCCAATGCATTAAAACCGTTCAGTTTAATCACCATTCTATATTAATGCGCTGCTTTAAAGGGGTCATATGATGCGATTTCAATTTTTCCTTTCTCTTTGGAGAAGCTCTTGGTGCATAAAGAAGATCTGTAAAGTTGTAAAGACTAAAGTCTCAAATCCAAAGAGATATTCTTTATAAAAATTAAGAGTCAACCACACCTACCTAAAACAGCTCGTTCTAACACACTCCCACATGTCTACGTCACGATGTGGGAAGATTCGCATAACGCCGCACAAATGTTCACGCAAAGAAAGAAGGTGTAACTTTTATTCTCGCTGTAGTATTGTTGCCGCCGCCGCCATGTCGTGAAGGCGCTATGTGTTTCGTTGTGAAAGCGAAACTACTTTGTTTGGCCTTCCAAAAGAGGACACGACTAGAAATCAGTGGTTAAGCTGTATTTACAACAACGTTCCAGAACACTTCAACCCAAATATTCCGATGTGTCCAGCACATTTTATGGAGGACTGTTTCCTGATCCTGGTAGAGTAGACTACAATGCCGGCTGTTCTGACTCACAGACTGTAAGTATGTTTTTATATTTAAAGAATTTGCCACTGACGATTCAAATGCAAGTTTTGAGCCGTGTAGAGTAGCGTTTGTAGTTTGACATTTCTCCGATCACAAATGCAAACATGGTTTTATGTTTACGCGGCGCAATGCAACGTGTAAAAAAACAGTATAAGTCATTATAATCCGTAATTATGTCCCCACTGGATGCAACAAATGCCTTGTTTATAATGGGTTTTAATGTTTTTGTCTTGTCGTGCCGGGACAAGGCATCACAATATGATAAGGGGCGTAACATTTCCGTCACACGCTTGAGGTATTCAGCCAATCACAACGCACTGGATAGCTGGCCAATCAGAGCACACCTCGCTTTTCAGACCGATGAGCTTTGTAAAAATCCACATGTTTCAGAAAGGCGGGGCATAGAGGAGAAACAATAATGTACAGTATGTGGAAAATAATGTGTTTTTTGAACCTTAAACCGCATAAACACATTTCATTACACCAAATACACAAAATAATGTTCTTTTTAGCAACATCACATGACCCCTTTAATTGATGCGCACGCACACCACTCGCATAGAGATCTGAGATCGCGCTATGCAAAAAGTAACATTCAGAAGCTCATAAACTTGTCAGCGCTGCCACGCGACATTTATTAATCGATACTGAACCGCTTCATTATATTTCTCAGCAACGAGGGGGGTAAAATCGCTGTTTTTAAGTAACTAAACAGCTTCATTGTTTGTAGAGAGACACAGACGCAGGCAATTTACACCTCTCTCTCTCTCTCTCAAAATGGCCATATTTGAGAAAAAAATTAGTGGTTTGCATCACTGGATATAGCTGTCGGTCATTTAACATTTCTATCGTAAAACGTATCGTTAAAAGTTGACTAATATTAAATTATTTGCAGCTTCCTCGCTCTCGCTCTCTTTAATGTTGAACTGACGCTTCGCGCTCTGCTTCTGTGAACAGTAAACCCCGCCTGCACTGGATAGCTGGCCAATCAGAGCACACCTCGCTTTTCAGACCGATGAGCTTTGTAAAAATCCACATGTTTCAGAAAGGCGGGGCATAGAGGAGAAACAATAATGTACAGTATGTGGAAAATAATGTGTTTTTTGAACCTTAAACCGCATAAACACATTTCATTACACCAAATACACAAAATAATGTTCTTTTTAGCAACATCACATGACCCCTTTAATTGATGCGCACGCACACCACTCGCATAGAGATCTGAGATCGCGCTATGCAAAAAGTAACATTCAGAAGCTCATAAACTTGTCAGCGCTGCCACGCGACATTTATTAATCGATACTGAACCGCTTCATTATATTTCTCAGCAACGAGGGGGGTAAAATCGCTGTTTTTAAGTAACTAAACAGCTTCATTGTTTGTAGAGAGACACAGACGCAGGCAATTTACACCTCTCTCTCTCTCTCTCAAAATGGCCATATTTGAGAAAAAAATTAGTGGTTTGCATCACTGGATATAGCTGTCGGTCATTTAACATTTCTATCGTAAAACGTATCGTTAAAAGTTGACTAATATTAAATTATTTGCAGCTTCCTCGCTCTCGCTCTCTTTAATGTTGAACTGACGCTTCGCGCTCTGCTTCTGTGAACAGTAAACCCCGCCTACTTTGATTTGATTGGCCATCTCAGTCATTTTGACATTGACGAGGGCTGTTAGACCGCTGAGGCTTTGATCTGAAGTGCCTAGTATGTGCAGCGGTCGCGCGCGCATCCGTAGACTAGTCATTCTCACACTTTAATACTATTTATAGCTCCTAACAGGCTGTGCGACTATGAGACGTTATTACCTCAGTATGCAGTTTTCCCTATTGCTCACGTGCCAGCGAGTATCCCTCTGCGTGTATTTAGGTGGAAATTCAAGTCAGCTGACTCAGAGTCCATCTTTGTAACATTTCTAGGCAGCTGAATCTCAAACTGTTTGTCAAAGTCATGTTTTAATAACATATTTCATATTGGCAATAAAATCTGACAACACTGGTATCATCAATTTCACAGTATTGCTATCTTTCATCTAATGGCTATTAAACAAACTCAATCAAAAAGGTGATTGGCGCTGATGGCCGCCATGTTAATTTCTCTGATTCATTTCACTTCCAGTGGTCCATCTCCTCCTCCTTACACTGTGACTCTGAATCTGTGACTTAACTAGCCAGTTTATATGAGAATTGACAGGAAGTTGTTTGATTTCTCCCCAAGTTATCATCTTTTTTTAAGCCACAAAAATATAAATTTCTGTTAACAGGTCCAACCTGCGCTGACGCCCACAACCCTTGCGACCCCAATAAATGTCACCCATCATCGCGGTGCCAGGTCCTTCCAGAGGGAGGATACAAATGTGAATGTCCAATGGGACGTGAAGGCAAGCACTGTGAAAAAGGTACAGTACTACATCATAGTAAAAATACAGTAAATTAGCATATCAACTCCCCTATGGACTGAAATAACTGCTACCCCTCAGTTGTAATTTCTGTATTGATTTTTGTCAGGATCGATTGGTCTGACTTGGATATTTGCTATAGAATTATCAAGGGAAAAAAGGGGCTGAGGTTATGGTGGGGTGGTCAAAGTGAGATTCTCCAGTGGGTACCATACTAGGTTTTACCAGTATAATGGAGAGTCAGCATCTGGGAGGTGATTTGAAATTACTTTCCCTTGCACACTATGTCTGAGTTGCCATCCTCTGATGCTTGGAAGATCAAGCATATGGTAGGTGGGGGGGGGGGGGGGGGGGGGGGATTTCTCTCCTATGGGAGCTGAACTCTAACCAGGGAAGAGATGCTTCGTTCTGCTGCCATTTCGAAGTTTATTAGCACTCTCACTCTGTTGCACTTTTCTCTCTCACCTCATTACAATTCCTACAGATGTTTTAGACCGCAAGCATTAGAAAAGGGGAAACCAAATGAAAAGTTTAGGAACACACATGTGCGCAGGCATATTAGACACCCCACATGATGTAGGGGGGGTCCGGCCCTATACATTTGGCCATGAACCCCTTTAAATTTAGGTTAAATTAGCCAGTGCAATAGTGCCTACCCACTTTTTTCAGCAGCATTGGTTCTGGAAATATTTTTCCCATTCATTTTTTCCATAGGGATTTTAAAAAATTCTTCATTAAAAGCCATCAACCAAATCAAACAGCTTCAAAGTGAATCGCAACATTACAAACTTTGATTTGAAGGAGGGAAAGAATGATTGGTGGAGATTTCTTGCAGAATCTTAAGTAATGTAGTTTCTCATGAGGATTCCCGCTGTTACACACGATTGTTTACAAAATAAGTTTAAATAATGTGGGCTTATTCAACAAAAGCATATACAGTTGATAACCAACCTTGTGGCTCACAGTAGGGTTGACTTTAAAGTAGAGACCTGCACTCCCGCGGGACCCAACGCAACAGGGTGCGGCGCGGGACAACTCTTGATGGGCGAGTGCGGGTGAGAGGAGACCTTGTGTGAGTGCGGGATGCGTGAGAATAAAATGATTTGCGGGACTCCCGCAAAATAGAAATTATCTAAACATAAAGTGTCTAAAACATATACATTGTTATTTGTCTGTTGCACAAAAGCAAAAAGAACAACTAATATTAACATTAAAATGATTGACATGCGCAAGCTAAGTATAGTTTCTATTTATAACACGTGTTTAAAGCGTTGCGCAATGTAGCCAATCACAGACTCAGCTGTTGATTTCTGGAACGCAGTGGCCAATCAGAGGTGATTAAGTTAGAATCTACTCACCACAGTGCTGAAATTGCGTGCTCACGAAACATTTTATTTCAGTGTAGACACTGTGAAAGATTCATTGGGCATATATTTATCGTGTTATAACAGAGCTTTATGAGATCGCGATTAACTGAGATGTCAGCTTTTAGTGATAATAAAGGAAGCGTGCTGCTCGCATTCTGCCATGCCAAACCATGCACGCAGCAGCCCATGCTTGCTTTTCTGTTAAAAATAGCTGATTTGTGAATGTCCATGTTTAGCCTAAATAACAAATATTTAATCGGGAGTGTTTATGCTGGGATGTTGTGGAGCTTAGGAGATGTTACAGAACCATTTAATGTAAATTTCTACGATGTACTGAAAAAAATCTATATAGATTACTTGTATGCGGGCGGGAGCGGGACAAAACATGAATGTCACGGGCGGGAGCGGGACCAGATAAGATATATTTCTGCGGGACCGGGCAGGTCTCTACTTTAAAGGTTTAGAAGTTACTGTTAAAAATTCCCTATGGAGAAAATGAAATGAACTTTTACTTTTGGAACCCGATTGTCACACATTGTAGAGCTTCCAACTCATTTACATCACCATCAAGTCTTTACTGACTGTTAAAAACTTGAAAAACTTAATTTTCATGATTATCATTGCTGCCTGTCTGTATCAGCGATACTATTTCAGTATTTTTATTAACAATATGATATCACTAATAGTGGGCGGGCCAGTTTCATCATTCACAAGGTACCCCAGGCTTGCAGTAGGCCTATGTCATTGCACACACATTCAAGCACCTGTTCAACCCAGAACTATCAAATGAGAGGGGCCAGAGAAGAAAGTCTCCATTAGCGAGTGATTAAAATAAATTGAGGTGAACCAGAATCAATGAGTTGAGCTCATCCATCAGACGGAGTGTGTTTTTTTATCGCTTGAATCAATGAGATGAGTAATTCTATCAGTCAGCTGCACATCATGATTAATGGGGAGTCAGTCGGGCAAAGTGTCCAGGGAGAGTGGCTCTCTCAGATAAGAGACTGTCCAGCACTGTTTGGCTTTTCTGAAATGACTAAGTCAGTAACAGGAGAGCGCTCCCTTCTGGGCGAGGTTAGAAGGTAAAATACATGCAGCATGCTGAAAGAAGGAAATTTACGTTACAATTGTCACTGAAGCACTGCTGGCCTAAAGAATCATTAAAGAATAAATAAAAAGTAATACAGGTACATGATTTATCCATGAGCTGCCGTTTGGAAATTAAGATTTTTATAGTCAGTGAATTGTAAAAAAAAAAAAAAAAAAGATTGCTTTCGTAATGTGGTGTATGTGGAGTAAAAAATATATATTCTAATAATAATAATAATATATTCAGTAAGAAAAAAATGCTAGTTTGCTAAGCAATGCATAATTCTAATGCTAATTTACAATATGTTTGTGCTTTACAAAAGGGTCATACTTCATACATTCTTTTCTACTAGTTTTGTGAAAGTGGAATGTTTTATATAAAAATGTTGTAGTTTAATGGAATATTTCCAAATAACTATGTAAAAGAAGGATTGTTCAGTTGTCAGTAATTTACCAAACAACAGGCCTGTCCTGTGCTATTGAATGTTGCCAATTCCTAAGCTGCTATTTCTGCAGTGCAGAAATAGAGGCCTCTCCTTTGTCACTTTCCATTTTGACTTCTCACTTCCTTGTGGTGTCTGCAAGTGTTGTGTCTTCTTGTACAATAGCGAAGTTGCCGCTGTGTTAAACAATAGCTAATTAGCTTTTTAATCTCAGTCTACCATCCCAGACTGAGCATGCGCTCATCCTGTGTAATTACTACAGGGTGCATGCTGGGCTGAGTGGCAGTGCTATGTGCTGATGGGTGTGAGTGTATGTGTGATCGTGTAAGCTATATACAGTGTCACTGTCTGGTCTCATAACTGAAGGAACATCTCAAACACATTGTTATCTAATAGACTTTTTTTCATATTTTCCAGTGTCAGACAAGGGAGGCGCTTTCATTCCTTACTTTACTGGAGACTCTTTCCTGGAGCTCAAGGGCCTTCATCTCTACGGCCAGGATCTGAGGTATTACGTTACATATTGGCTATTGTTTTTTGCATTTATTATAATGATGCACATAGTCGTGTTATATTAGTAGTGGTCTTCTGAAATGAGACAAGTCCTCTCTCTGCATTTGTTTTATTTAGCTCATACATGTTAGTTAAATTCAGTGTTTTTATTAAGAAGAAAAAAAATGTTTTATATGAAAGTGTCTTGCATATTAATAATACAATATTGTGTTGTATATTAATAATACAATAATAATGGTGATGATAATCATACAATAAATACACATATTTTGTGTACTGGTTACTTCTAATGTTTTTTTTTTGTGTTTCTAATGACCATTATTCAAAAAATACTTTGTAAACACCACTTGTTTAATTAGGCTTTATCTCACTCCGATTATTTCACGCTTGAAGTCATTTCAAGTTCATTTAGATTTCGGACATGTTGGATTGAGAAATTATGTTCAGTTGTTTGAGCTGTTAATTCAGTAATTAGTCCATCTGTTTCCACAAATTTTGATGCATATTTGCTAGCTAAATGCAAACATTGTTTCTCACATTACTGTTGCCTGTATCAAGGAAGAAAACCTCTTTTATGTATCTAATTGAACTATACTTATTCGTTCATAGGCAAAAGTTCAGCATGACTGTGGTTCTGTTGGCCAATGACTCCAAAGGCATGATCTTCTACAACGGTCAAAAGACAGACGGCAAAGGAGATTTCATCTCTCTCTCCTTGAATGATGGTATCCTAGAGTTTCGATATGATCTAGGCAAAGGGCCAGCTGTCATTAGGTAAACAGCACTCTCTATAGTTATATTCAAATGCAGTTCAATTCAAATAACTCCGCGGTGTTGTGTTCAGTTACTCTTTCAATTATCTAACTGTAGCTTTTGGGTTTATTTTCATATTGCTATTAAGAGGGGCAAATAAACATTTTTCCCATCTTTTTGCTTGTGTGCACCACAGGAGTAAAGAAAAAATCAAGCTGAACGAATGGAACACAGTGAATCTGGAGAGGGCCAGCAGAAAAGGAGAGATCAGCATTAATGGCAAAGACCCTGTCAGAGGAGAGGCGCCGGTATGAGAACCCTCTTATGCTTATGCTGCCCTATAAAGGCCACAAACATCACACTTCTTTACAAGAACAAGTCAAACTAGCTGTTCCGTCCCTTGCCAAAATGTACTGCGGTGGTACTTTGATATACAGTGGAGTCCAAAAGCACAAATAGTTTTTGGGGATTTTGGAAATTTTGACTGAAAATAAAGAAATATTTCAGATTGAGCACTATTTCAATGTCACTAATCAAATAATATGTGACACTGATAATGTGACTCTGTCCAGACAGTCAGATGTTCTTCCGTTGAAGCTCAAGATTCTCATTGAATCATCATGAAGAACTTGCTCATCGGTTTTTACCAGTGTTGGGGAAAGTTACTTTTAAAAGTAATGCATTACAGTATTGCGTTACTCCATAAAAAAAGTAACTAATTACGTTACTTAGTTACTTTTTATGGAAAGTAATGCGTTACGTTACTTTTGCGTTACTTTTAAAATCTGGGCAGGGCTTGCTTATTTGTTTTTAAAATAAAAAAAGTTATATTTTTGGCAAATATATTAGTATGGTTGAACTGGATCATCGAAGGTTAGAAGCAAAGACATTGGTTAATATAGAATGGGATTAAATGCATAAAGGATATTTGTGTTGTTTAACATTTATTTATTGCAGGTTTGCATCATATTCTGAGTTGCATGATTTTTTAAATTCATTTTGAGGAATACTGAATCTGTGTTTTTTTGTGAGTGAGATGAATTAATGCATATTCATATTTATTTTAGAACAACAGTAACATCTGATTTCTGTCAACATGGCGACAACAGAGTTGTCAATCAATAAATTGGAAAAAACAAAAGTAACTTGCGTTACTTATTTGAAAAAGTAACTCAGATATTCTCTTGTAAATTAAAAAGTAATGCATTACTTTACTAGTTACTTGAAAAAGTAATCTGATTACGTAACTCGCGTTACTTGTAATGCGTTACCCCCAACACTGGTTTTTACACAAACTTGTGGAGTTTATACAGCTCCAGTGCTGCTGTCATTAAAGCAAAAGAGAGAGTTATTCTAAAATGTGACGTTTTGACTCAACTTTTTACTCAAATTGTTTGGCTGACAGTGTCAGCTGTGATAAAAAATAATAATTATTAAATTAAGATATACAAGCATTTAAAAAAAAAAAACTTTTAGACCCCACTATACAACATGGTATTGAATGATTACCATATTCACATACCATGATATTGACATTTCAGATAATACTATGGTATCATTATGGTACATTTCAAAGAAACCATGATATTACCATGATTGACCAGAAAGTCATGCTTTGTTTGCATTCTTTAAAGTTTAGTTTGCTGCTTTTTACGCAGGGTCTGGGGTGCATGTGTGGGAAGCTTTCGAAACTTCCCACTTTTATGCCTCGTACTTGTGGTCTTTTGTCTGTGCCCTCCATTTGCTTTTAATTGCCATGTGGAAATGACTGTCTGTTGTGCTATGAATTCACACCCACTCAGATCAATCCCAGCAGCCTCTGCCTGAGCTCGTGTCAAACCCGTAGTACGACAGCAGAACAATCGGACCGCTCTCATACACAAATCGAGGCCATGTAATAATCTCGAAACTCTCTCATCCTCCAGTTATTCTAAATTGTGTAATTTGTGATTAGCTTGATGTAGTCTTACGCGTAGGCACTTAAGTGTGCCTTATTTCGTCATTAAACCTTCCTACGTATGATAATTGTGTTTCATTTCAGCAGTAGAGGCAAGCAAATCTTATTAAAGCGAGGATGAGAGAAGGAAAAAATGTGAAGAAACCAGAAGGGTCTTGTTCCAAAGGGGCCGTCTGCAGCGAAACCCCCGAGATAAATGCTTTGATGGCCTCAGCTGTTCCACTGAACAGACTCTAACTACACTGCCATATCATAAAGCAATATAAACAATGCGGGTGCAGTAGTGTAATACATAGCGCAACTTTAATGCCATTTCTGATTTACTCTGAACATTTGTTTCTGAGGCACTGTACACACATATATTTATTTCCTTGCGACCTGCATGCTAAGTGTCTTGCTTGAGCTACGCCTGTGAATATTTTATTCCTCAGGCTTACAGTTTACTGCATGGGTTCTGTTCTGTGTGTACTGACATCCTCTGTTTTCTACACTGGTAACATTTTTTTTCTTCCTTCCCCTGTGCTCTTTTTGTGTGCTGTCTGGATATAAGAAATCACGCAAGGTAATGACTGAAGTCTGAAATGGCTTTCTAGAATCAGCATCCTCATTCCCACCAAAAGCAACTGTCCATTTCAGCTTCATTGTTCATTAGCCAAGATCTGGTAGAGGATCAAACGAAACGAAGGGGAGGGTTTTTTTTTCTTCTCTTCAAACCATTCCATATGCTGAAAGGAGCGAGGCAGAGAGAGATTTGCCTTTCCCCTCAGACCAGCTGGTATGGGGGCGACGAAGGAGAGAGTTATCATTTGACCACCATTGTTTCATCACCCCTCCAACAACAATGAAATGTCTTCATTAGTCTCGCGTGGGAGGGCCATTAAACCGCCTCACTGTGGATGTAGACTGCGAAAGCAATGCTGCTGGCGTGGGAGAGAAAGGGAGTGTTATCACGAGAAGAAAGAGATGTGAGAGGAAGAGCGCGTGGTACAGAGCTAGGAGTTGTTCTTTTGCCACATTTGTTTTTGGACCCTTCAAGGGTGTCTTACTTTTGTTGTTGTTGTTGTTTGTTTGTTTGTTTGTTTGTTTGAGGTAGTACCAATGACAGTCTTGGCTCACTTCCTGCCCTAGGCAACATAAGACATGGCCAAAGAGAAAGGCATTCTATAAATAAGTGCGAGACATGATAGTGTAGTGGTAGAGTTTCTTTTTAGAATCCAAGGGATTTCAGATGTTCAGATGTGTAACTTTTGAACCCAAAACTTTTTAAACTTTTGGGATAAGTCTCATGTTTTCACCAATGCATTTATTTGATAAAAAAGGCAGTAAAAACAGTAATGTTGTAAAATATTATTATAATTTAAAATAACTCTATTCTATTACTATTTGAATATATTATTATATATATTGTTCATATATATATATATATATATATATATGTTTCGTAACATTATAAATGTCTTTACTGTCACTAACATTTTTATATTTATTATTAATGTATAATACTATTGGGTTTTTATTTATTTATTTATTGCAAGGAAAACTTCTGAACCCGACAGCTAGTGATGATTTACATTGTGATCAACTTTGAAATAATATAATTTTCAGTTTAAAGCAAATGATCTGCACAAGGTGCAGCTCAGTTGAACTGTCCGCATTTCTACCAATGATTTTTATTTTATTTTATTTTTTAATTTTTTTGTTGCCTACAACAGTCGTGCAACTTATCGAAGATACAAATTTTTCTTGGAAATTGCATACAACCCAAAACTTTTTAAACTTTTGGGATAAGTCTCATGTTTTCACCAATGCATTTATTTGATAAAAAAGGCAGTAAAAACAGTAATGTTGTAAAATATTATTATAATTTAAAATAACTCTATTCTATTACTATTTGAATATATTATTATATATATTGTTCATATATATATATATATATATATATATGTTTCGTAACATTATAAATGTCTTTACTGTCACTAACATTTTTATATTTATTATTAATGTATAATACTATTGGGTTTTTATTTATTTATTTATTGCAAGGAAAACTTCTGAACCCGACAGCTAGTGATGATTTACATTGTGATCAACTTTGAAATAATATAATTTTCAGTTTAAAGCAAATGATCTGCACAAGGTGCAGCTCAGTTGAACTGTCCGCATTTCTACCAATGATTTTTATTTTATTTTATTTTTAATTTTTTTGTTGCCTACAACAGTCGTGCAACTTATCGAAGATACAAATTTTTCTTGGAAATTGCATACATATTCTTGGCTTTGAAATCGGAGGGGGCACGTGCCAGTTTGAGTGGGCATGATGCTTCTAGGACCCTTGGGGAAGCTATCTAAATAACACTGACAGTTAGCTATTCACTTCACCTGCTCAATCTCAGTCTCAGCTCGTGTTGGCAGAGAACGAGAGAGTGAAAATATCTCTCCCAGCCTGTGGCTGTCGGTGCATTGCAGCTTTGTGTCAAGACTTCTCGTTGCACACATCTCTGACCACATGAAACAGCAGCTGGGTGAAAACATTCCTGGCTATTCTGTCTTGGCCCAACCACATGCTTGGACTGGCCTCCAGGTCCATAGCCAGAGCTTTTCAAGCCTTCGCCTGTATCCGTACTTAGCTATTCTTCTTTTTATATCTCTAGAATGAGAGCTGGACCACACATCAGAAATTGGCATTGCTGTTGATGTCCCATCTTTTTTTCCCTGGCAATTAACTTGCCTTTCCCCCAAGGCAGTTATTGGCCTACATAAAATAAAGATTTTTAATTCTTTTCAAGTAGAGCCTCATGCAGAAAAATCCCACTGTAACTAAAGCGATTTTCACACAGGTTGAAGAAACGCTCATTTCATGGTCATCTGCATTGTAAGCTATACACCAATTAGAGTTTACAACTCAAGATTTTAAAGGTCCGAGGAACAATCAGGCATCCATTACTCTCTTTCATTAAAAAACCATCCATATCAATCGTCCTCATTTCAATCGCTTCAATTTTCTCTCTCACTTTTTTTCTACCTCTTTTCCTCCTGTCTAATTTGTTAGATTCAGAGTCATTTACCATTCAGAGAACTGAGCTTAAATCAATTATGGTTTTGTAATACAACACTTACACTGATGTGGATAAGGATTAGGTGTAAAAGTTGAATCAATAAGCCTGCTGATGTACAGAAAACATCCACTCTTCTACTGATTTTACTGCAGTTGCTCTACTAGATGACCCATAAAAATGTATAGCCATTTTATTTGCATTAAAGGATGTGACTTTTATTACGTTTGAAGAGTGAATAGAGGACGAGGAACAGTTCATGTGGTTTCTCACACTCATTTTTGTACTCTCCAGAATCAGCACACAGATCTTAATCTGAAGGAGTCGCTCTTTGTGGGCGGAGCCCCAGATTTCCGCAAAGTAGCCAGAGCTGCTGCGATTAAAGATGGCTTCAAAGGGGCCATTCAGAAGGTGAGAGCTATTACAGATGCATTAAAGACATGAATTTCCATTTGCATCCCATTTTACTTCCATCAGTTGATGTATGTTTAGAGTGAAACAGGATATTCAGTGAGAATAAACCTGAATTTACCCACTGGGAATTAAATGGATAGTAAAAAATTGATGTTACGTACAAGAATGAAGCCAGATCTAAATGTGATTTGCTAAAACACCCCCTAAATAGCTGTTTGGCTATTGGTTAACATTGTCCAATGGCCTGTACGGCCTTAATGACATCAGAAAAGCAAAGTTGTTTCAGAAGAAGCACAACTTAGTATATTTGGACACAAAATTGCAAAGAGAACACACTTTTTTAATGTTTTCTACTTTAAAATAACACGTACTAATGAATCCTCCAAAGTAAGACCAGGAACATGCATTAAAAAAGGAAATAGTTTTGACATCAGAAAATAGTTCCAACTGTTTTTGAAAATAATTTTGGTTTTAAACATCTATCTTCGTAGATTACTCTGATGGGAATTCCAATCCTGAAAGCTGATAACGCACTTCACTCCAGTGATGTGTCCATGCATCCCTACCACCCCTGCTACAAAGATGTTTGTGAGAACGGAGGCCGCTGCAACCCCCTGTTGGACAGCTACGAGTGCGTCTGCCTCCACGGATTCGCTGGACAGCACTGCCAGGATGGTAAGTGCCTTATTTCATCACTATTTTTAATGCAAAATCGTATTACCCAGTACAGCCTCTCCTCCAACTCCCTCACACTCCTTTAAGGCAAGATTTGCATACGTCTTTTGAATACATCAACACACAACTTACTTACAAGAAAATGCTCATGGTGGTTTTAGCCACTCATATGCTCCATATGTAGATTTAGCTAAATCCACACCTCCAAACTTTCACAAATAATACCAGCCATCGTCCTTGTTCGATTTGTATGCTTATCACAAACACACATTGGAACAGTTGCAAGAAACCCAAGAACTTTTGCTCACCTCATTAACCTTGCTGGGTCCTACTGTTGTATCTTTAACCTTAATTAACCCACAAAAGCATGAAGCCTGCAATATATCACGCTTTCCTTATTTGTTTTAATTAAACTGTGCTGTGTCTCATATCCATTAGTGTAATTTCACTCTGTCTTCTTTCCTCCCTTCCAGCAATATTCGAGAAATCTGCTGGGGACACCGAGGCCATTGCATTTGATGGTCATACATTCATCGAATATCACAACGGAGTCACCAAGAGGTAATGTCAATGGCCTCCCCAATGATCACGATCCGCCCTGAGCATCCCATCCCATCTCTATATTAGCAGTCAATGAGGGGTGATGACAAGCTAGATTACTCAGGCCCCATTTAAGGTCCAACGTGCTTCCTCGTTTTAGCTAATGGTTTGATCTCATCAATTACCACTTCCACTGGCCTGTCTCTTTGGTTTTCCATGAACCCTGCTTGGTTCTAATTAGCGTAGCACCCGAAGGAGTCTCATGACTCCACTACGACGTACCACACTTATGCGCTGTAATGAACCTTCCTCCACCATCACTGGGATCTCAAAACCACATGTCTCCACTACCACACATATCCTAAAGCACCATGGATGGTCATGTCTTGATAATTGCTTCCTTCTTCACTTATCAGATGATTTCTCTTCCTTTGGATGGTCTGATATGTCAGCAGTCCAGCAAGTACCAATTACAGTCAAGCGTTTTCTCGGTTTCTAGTAGAATGGACTGCATTTTTAAACCCGTCACAAGTGTTATATATTATATATTGCAATGTCTCCACCAGTGTTGGGCAAGCTACTTTAAAAATCTAGCTTTCAAAGCTACTCATATTTTAAATGAGTTAAATTATTGTGAAAATACCCTATTGAAAATGTAGATATCTACATTGAAGATTATTAAAAGTTGTTAACTACAGTGAATCTATTTATAAAGGCCAGATATGACCGTTTTTCTGGCACAAAGGATCTCAATTAGGATAACCTTATTTGAATTTTAATTAAAATACTGTAATTTAAACATCCTGATTCAAAAATATGATGAACAGCAGAACTTAACTAAATATTTGACTACATTAGCTCTAAATCCATATAAAATGAATTGGTCCTTCCAGTCCTACATGTACAGTAAGTCAGGGAATCGTTTTAGAACTAGATGAACTGATTGACATTAGATTTGATATTAGAAAAATGTTAGTATCATTGCTGCTTTTCACTGACCATACAACTGAGAAATGCACCTCATACTACTTATTTGACAAACTAGCACTCTGAAACATGGTGAATCTTAATGTAGGACACACAGCGTCACTCTTCTCTGTTTTATGTGTATTGTGTGTTTGTGTTTGTGTCGACCTGTCTGTCTCTGTACACAGCTTTTGTTGTCTTTGCTCTTGTCTGTCTGTCTCATGTGAGTGTACTCTGTTGTCTTCCTTCTGCTCTCAAGCCAAGTGACCAATGAGATCCCAGAGTAAGTAACCCGGAGACATTCTGGGGTGGATTTGATTAAGTGAAACTAACCTTTTCAAAGACAAACCATTGACTTAACCCAACATAAGGCTTTCTTTTTTTCCCCTTGTATTGCCATTTACATCACATTTAAAAAAAAACCAGGGCTCATCTATTTTTCCAGGAAAGGTGCATTTTCATTAGAAACCAGTTTCAGAAATGCATGTTTGGCATGAATGATGATGAGCATTGTGATACTCTGATAGATTCCCACAGGAACCATGCATGGAAATACCTGAACCAACTTTGGAAATACGTCTGTGTGTATTCTTATGTTAAAAAATAATGAAGCCCCTTTTAACTGCAAGTATTATTTAACTTTTTGAAGCACGATATGTATCAATATTTAGTTGGTATTTACAACTGGGTTTAAATGGCATTTTGCCGCCCCATTAGGGAAATGTTTAATCTGTTATAGTGTTCCTTTTAGTGATTCTTATTTTAAATTATTTGTTTCCTTCTGAATGTAATTAAGTGTCTAAGTGGCTGCACTGAGCCCTTAAAAAGCTGGCAGCTTGATTAAATGGAATTATGTTATGTATTATGCTCATGAAAAGTTCCTGCCAGGCTTTTAAGCCACATCATTTTGTTTGTCAAATCGCTCCCAGTGATTTCTAATAATTGTGCCCAAGGATGAAAGCAAAAGTGGCACATTAATCAAGGATTTGTCTCTCAAAACCGAACGTAATTAAAGAGGCTTCGTCCAGTAGAGAAAGCAAGCCACTGCTGGCATCAATAACGGTTAGGGACAAGGCCCTCTTCACTGACTTTCACTATTCTTGGGGTTTAATGCATGTCACTTCCTGTACAAATGAAGTGTCAGATTAAAATTAATCTCAACCAAGAAAGCTGACCAGCCCTTCAAAATGAGTGTCATCAATTTAGCTTGATCTGGTTTTGAACAGAGCCCTTAAAGTTAATGAATTCCTCAGAGGACGCCGGCATAGTGGCACCACATCTGTGGGAGTAGAGTCATATTTCTGTTAGTATTTACTGTGCTATTCATCTATCTTTATTCTCTCCCTTTAGCTCAGCAGCCTTGGATCAATTTACCCATTTTTACCATTTAAGTGTCCTGTTCCTAAATGCGTTTTTTTATATAATTGGCCTTTTGACAAAAATAATTATCTTGTATTTAGCTTATCCAAAACCTAGTGAGCTATCTTGCTGCCTTCTTAGGAAGCATAATAACTCTCATTGAACCCTTAAGTGACCAGTTTGAAATGCTTTACATAAGCAGAAAAGCACGCCACATAAACAGAAACTTGGCTCGCAATTGATTTCAGTAGAGTTTGATGTTAGCATGTTACTAAGCTAACAACACACTACTAGCATAACATAAAACCATGGTTAATTTTCACAAGGGTAGCAAGCCGAGTAATTAAGTTAAGTGGACCTATGATGCCTTAAAATGCTGGCTCCACAGGCAGCTCACTAGGTTTTGGAATTTGATCGAAAACGACCAGTCTTTCAAACATATACTCACTTAGTTGCTCTTTCTCTTGCGTTCTTGCTCTCTTGACTGGTTGAGAATGATGGAATCGTTGATAAATTGCAGTAATTCAACCATGTGACAGCGCAGAACAATAAAACAGCATGTCAGTGCCACTAGTACCGTCGATACATTCTTCCCATATTATTTCTCTGTTTATGCTGGCATAACAACTGAAAGACTAGAATAATTTAGTGAAGTCACTCCAGCTCCTTGGCACAGGTCTTCTTATCTGTATGTTATGTGATCCCTGTTCTTCCCCTCCGCCCTTTTGCACTTATTGCATGCCTATCATTTCTTCCCTTGCTCCTCAAAGCCCTGAGTCACTGGAGAACCCATCTGACCAGAGGTGAGTCCCCTCTGCCTGAACTGTTTCCAATGGCATGCCGTCCTCCCACACTCAGCCACCCTGCAGAGGCTAAAGGCCAGGGCTTTTGTCAGGTAGCACGTCGCAGCTTGCACTCTGAAATCATTCATATGATGTCTCAAACATGTTTATTTCTCTACTACACAAGCCTAGATAGAATATTTGGAGTACATATGGTGACACGTATTAAGCAGAACAAAGGTACTAATGCAAAAAAAAAAAAAAAAAAAAAAAAAAAAAAAAAAAAAAAGCATCTAGCTTGAGTTCTGTGACTGCAGATTCTTTGTGGACCTGCTAAAATGTTAGAGACATGTAATGACTATTCCCATGTGAGCCACTGCCCCCTATAGGTGGACAGCATAAACCATGCTTTAAGTCTGATCGCTTCAATTATGAAAAAATGATGCACCACCCTACTACACAAGCTGCTGCTTCCAAGATTTTTTAAAAGCAAAATACTCAAAGCAGTTTTGTTGCTCATGTCCCATTAGGATCTCAAGCATATAGAACATTCCCTTTAGAATGTTCTAGATGCTTGAGATCCTAATGGGACATGAGCAATAATGAGCTCAGCAGAGTGGTGTATAATCACAGTTAGCTGCCCTGATGCCGAAGCTCTGGCTTGGGGCCGTGCGAAGGGAAGGCCTGTGGAAAGAGTCCAGTCAGCACATTACATGTGTCTCACCGGGAAATAATTCAATTACAGCAAATAATTATTCAGCTTTACGCCGTCACAGGCTCATCAACAGCATTAGCGTAAAGAAAATTGAATCAAACAAATGAAGATATGTTATTTCCAATTCTCAAGTCGTAAGTAGAGCTGCTAATATTATGATTTGAAATGTGACTTGTCAGTCGGGCAGAGCGTCTGATTTTACGCCTGCCTTCAGATTAATCGTTCCTTAAGACAACACGTATTTTCGACTGGACTCCTCCTAGGTTAAATTCTCGAATACAAAAATGCACCGGCGGTTTATTTATTCACCCAATCTTTGAAAGGAAATACAAATACTGTACAACAAACTTACAAATAAACACCATCGGTGATATCACAGTTTGCACAACCATGGAGAACGTGTTTCTATTTGCTGCAATGTAGCGTGAAGATGCGAGCACAGTCGCCATCTGCTTTCTTTTCTTCTGTGTATCGTGTCCGTTGTCTTGTTCCTCTCCGTTTTGTCTTTGTCTTGTCTGTGTCTTTATTCGTGGTGTCACTTGTCTTTCTCCTGTTTACACGTTACCTGATTTAGCAAACAAGTCCCGACACACTTGCTATTCTGTATCACAAATGCGATCTCGCTTTCTCAAATAATGGCTCTCTTGATGCCACAACTGCAGGTACACCACTGAGAACAAAGGAATTGTTGTAAAAATAGCTGCTTTTTTTCTGTGGCGTATCTGTGGGTGCTTGCAATGGGGCAGAACGTGAGGTGTGTTGGATTAAATCGGCTCCCCGTTGACCTGAACAATGACACCGTCCTCCCCGAGGACGGGCAGATGTCACCTTCTCTATGCCTTACAAGGGAGTGCTGCATCCAGGGAACCAGATCAAAGCACACATCAGACGGCAGCTGATATGGGCTTCCTTCCTTAGCGCTCCCTGCGCAGGAAGAGAAAATCTAAAGCTTGAAGGCAAATTAGGAAGTGTTAACTTGGAGATAACCTAAAGTGTGTCACCAGCCCTCTCACACATACCTGTGTTCGAAAGGCCCTTCCCCCATCAGCGTGGCCTAGTTTACCTAGTTTCATACAGACCCACAACTGTTCAGTCTGCTCATTTGTTTATCAAACCCTTACTGGGTTTTTGACTGTATCAAAGTTACGTTTTCACTCATAATTCTATCACTGTTGTTGATAAAATAGCAGGTAAGTAAGGGCTTCATGCACGTCCTGTGGTTTACACGGCATCTCTGAAACGGCAATGGAGTTGTGACAGCATTTCCTGTCTCTTTGATCTAGTGAGAAGGCCCTGCTGGTGAATAAATTTGAACTGAGCATCAGGACTGAGTCTACTCACGGTCTGATTTTGTGGAACGGGAAGGGAGTGGAGCGCTCCGACTACATCGCCCTCGCTATTGTGGACGGCCGTGTGCAGATGACCTATGACCTCGGCTCCAAGCCTGTTGTGCTGCGCTCCTCTGTGCGGGTCAACACCAACCGCTGGATACGAATCAAGGCCAGCAGGTAAAACCCCAAGGGTTTTTCCATCAATTGCCTCAGGTTTGACATAGAGTAGTTTTAGACATTTACAGGGCTCAACCGTTAGAAATTTGTCTACTTGTCCAGCCAACAATTTTATTGGCCCCCAATAACAATTATTCATTTTAAATTATAAAAATTTGGTTAGAATTCTGAATGTTCCGATGTAAAATGTATACTTTTTATTTATTATTTAATATTTATTATAAAATTATTTTTAAGAATATACAGTACCATTCAGAAGTTTGGGGTTGGTAAGTGTTTTTAATGTTTTTTCATCTCTTATGCTTGCCAAGACTTCATTTATTTGATCAAAAATACAGTAAAAACAGTAAAATTGTGAAATATAATTAAAATTTTAAATAACTATTTTCTGTTTCTAATATGTTTTCAAATGAATTTATTTCTCAGATTGGAAAAGCTGAATTTTCAGCATCATTACTCCAGTCTTCAGTGTCACATGATCCTTCAGAAATCATTCTATTATGCGGATTTGGTGCTCAAGAAACATTTCTTATTATTATCAATGTTAAAAACAGTTGCTTTTTAATATTTTTGTAGACACTATGATAGATTTTTCAGGATTCTTTTATAAACAGAATGTTCAAAGAAGACCATTTATTTGAAATAGAAATCAGTAATATTACAAATGTGTTTTCTGTCACTTTTGAACAATTTAATGCATCTGCTGAATAACAGTATTAATTTCTTTAAAAAAAAAAAATCTTACTGACGCCCTAACTTTAAAATAGTAGTGTGTAAATGTATTTTTAATTCAAATATTTAGTTTTCTTTGGTTAAAAAAATGGAAATTAGAAACCTGCCATAATTTCAGAAATACTTGGAAAATGCTGCGAAATAATACACAGCAAAACACACTGATTGTTTTATAATTTTTCAACCAATTCTTACTGACACTACAGTACCATGTCTATTATTCTTTCATTTCAACAAAGCCTTATTTATAAACAATTTTACCTAGCTGGTACATTTATACAAGGCATAGAAATGCATGACCGTCCTTATTATTGAACCCTGTTTTATACATGACACAATTTGCCATAGAATGACAGACATTTATATTTATCACAGTTTTGCCATAGAAATGTTTGCCAGCAGTGGCAGTCATTTATGTTTGCCTCAGGTGTGCCATAGAGGTGTTTGCCAGTAATGACAGACAATTATATTTACCAAAAAATTTGCTATAGACATTTTCTAATAGTGGCATGTTGTCCAAAGCTTGCTTCAGGTTTATGACTACAAGTGAAAAGCTGCAATCTTCTTTTGTTTTCCCTTATGACTACAATTTAATTTGCCACTAATTTAGTACATATTAACTGCAAGTTTGCCAGAAGGCCAGTCTTCAGGAAATGTGAGGGAAAATCACATTTTCAGTGTTAATGCTGTGCTGTGACTCACCATCTTCCTGTACTTCTCTATTCTCCACAGAGCGCTCAGAGATGGCTCGCTGCAGGTTGGTAATGAGGCAGCTGTCACTGGGTCATCACCCTTGGCTGCCACACAGCTGGACACAGACGGCGCTCTCTGGTTGGGTAAGTCCCTCTTACACCGCTTTGCTCAATCGAAGCTCATTTACAAACCGTATACGTAAACCTGCTCTGACACACCGAATATCAACAGTCCCAATACTTAGCTTGTAATGTCTAATTGGATCTTCCCCCACAGTGAGTGCTTTTGAAGAGCTACATCTCTTGTTACCCCTTAACATCACTCAAAAAGGTCTATGTTAGGATTCAATATTACCTAATTATGTTTAATTAATAATTCCAGGATGAGTCTTTACTATAGGGTGTTTTAAAAACTCTAATGTCCCAGTGTTTGCCTTCTCTTTCTCTTTTGACAAACCTATAAAGATTAAAAAGGATGATTTATTCCATTTTAAGGGTGCAAAACCTTCTTATAAGGTTGCGAAAAGTATTTCAGCACAGGCCAGCCAGTAGAGCAGGTGCTGTGGATGCCCGGTGGCTAGAATACATTATCCTCAGACAGCTCGAACATCAAGAGCTCCCTCTGAAAATCCCTTCTTTCAAATGTCATTATTTATTTACTTATTCAGATGTAATTCACTTGAAATTAGCCCTGTCAATTCTACCGTTGCAAGCATACAATCCGATTAAAGGGGAAACATGCGGGGAGGCGAAAGGAAGAGAGAGAACTGGGTGAAACGTGAGCGAACTGCAACAGGGGGAGACATTTTTCGCCCATGCTCAAGAGCAGGAGACAGAGCTGGATTTTCAACAGTGTCAGGTCCCTGAGGGAGGCGAGCGTAACTCTTACTCAGAAAGCTGTCAGGGAATGTCCCCCAGAGCCTGGCCTCCCAAAAACAATGTTTGATCTTCTCACCTGTTCCTGAGTGTTGTGTCTATATCTTTCTACATTCTGACACCCCCACCTTACACCTTCAGTGTCTCAGGCGTGATTAAGTTTTTAACAGTCTTCTACTCAGGGTTTCCATAAGCCACAGACTGTTCATCAGCCTTTAATAATATATAGTGCTGTATCTTGCCTGCATGGCGGGTAATATCTCAGGTTACACTAAGATATTACCCGCCATGCAGGCAAGCTACAGGTCATACTATATATACTGTACAGTACAAGTGTCCATGGTAAAAAAGAAAAAAAAAAATTAATATCTTGTTGAAAAGACTTTTTTTTAAGTTCTTTGTGTACTTTGTGTTCATGTTGGTTTCATGGGGTTTTGAAAACTGTTTATAGAATTTTAAAGAAAAATATACATTTGATGACTCTTAGAATTGCATAGGGAGGAACCAACAAGTAAAAGATGAAAGCAGTTGTGTATACCCATCTTTAAAAATCGAGATTAAAAGCATTACTTATAAACATCATGAATTATTAATTCACAAGAAAAAAAATGTGTGTTTATATATACAGTGTATATATATATATATATATGTGTGTGTGTGTGTGTGTGTGTGTGTGTGTGTAACTTGCTAAAGCTTTTCTTGCTAAAATGACATTCTTTTAATGAGGCTTTTTGCTCCATTTTGATATCAGGATAGGTGTATCACCCTGACATTTTGGACTTTATGCCCCCCAAAAATATCAATATTAAATAATTTAGAAATGAAAAAAAAAACATGCTCATCATAGAAGAGATGTATTTCTGAAAAAGTAAAAGGAGTATCATCGTCTTATATCCAATGTGATGGCATGCATTTCTTACAACCTCTTTGAGTGTTTTAAGTGATTAGATGGCTGTTTACACCAATTTCGTGATGTCCACTACTAATTGAATGGTTTATTCAGGTTTATTGTGTGAATATAAAGTGCTGTGCAGTATATCATGTACACTTGATCTGATCATGTCCATTCCTCTCGTCTTCAGGTGGTCTGGAGGAGCTGTCCGTAGCTCGCCGGTTGCCCAAGGCTTACAGCACAGGCTTTGTCGGCTGCGTGAAAGACATGATAGTCGACGGGGTGCAACTACATCTGGTTGAGGACGCCTTAAACAGTCCCAAAATATTACACTGTTCTGCCAAATAGTCCGGCACCACGTTCCTCCCAACACCATATCTACTGCTGTAATTATTTTTATATTTTTGTATACTTTTCTTTGCCTTTTACAGTGTATATATATATATATATATGTGTGTGTGTGTGTGTGTGTGTGTGTGTGTGTAACTTGCTAAAGCTTTTCTTGCTAAAATGACATTCTTTTAATGAGGCTTTTTGCTCCATTTTGATATCAGGATAGGTGTATCACCCTGACATTTTGGACTTTATGCCCCCCAAAAATATCAATATTAAATAATTTAGAAATGAAAAAAAAACATGCTCATCATAGAAGAGATGTATTTCTGAAAAAGTAAAAGGAGTATCATCGTCTTATATCCAATGTGATGGCATGCATTTCTTACAACCTCTTGAGTGTTTTAAGTGATTAGATGGCTGTTTACACCAATTTCGTGATGTCCACTACTAATTGAATGGTTTATTCAGGTTTATTGTGTGAATATAAAGTGCTGTGCAGTATATCATGTACACTTGATCTGATCATGTCCATTCCTCTCGTCTTCAGGTGGTCTGGAGGAGCTGTCCGTAGCTCGCCGGTTGCCCAAGGCTTACAGCACAGGCTTTGTCGGCTGCGTGAAAGACATGATAGTCGACGGGGTGCAACTACATCTGGTTGAGGACGCCTTAAACAGTCCCAAAATATTACACTGTTCTGCCAAATAGTCCGGCACCACGTTCCTCCCAACACCATATCTACTGCTGTAATTATTTTTATATTTTTGTATACTTTTCTTTGCCTTTTATATTGGAAAAAAATACATTGTTTTAATTATAATTTTGTTTTTTGTTTTGTTTTGTTTTCCCCGTCATTGCGTCCAACCATAATCATGTCACCAGTCAGCGAACATGGTGTCACAAGACAAGCAAAAAGTCGTATAACATCTGTCCTGTTTCTATGACAAACAACTAAATATGTACTTGCTCATTACTTGAACAGTGGCAGATGAGGTTGGTGCTGTTTGTGCCGTCTGGATTGCCTTCTCTCGGTGCCATAGCTTGCTGTCCAGCAGTCACCATACATTCCTCTGAGCTATTGCTGTGGTCCATTACTACATTTAAAAAGGTCTAAAAAAATTACTTTCCGCTTTATCGACACGACAGCAACTGTTAAATACACTGAGCAAGACTATGTATGATATTCATCATTTATGATACCACTAACAAGGGCGAAAGCTCAAAACTTGGAGCTTTTGAATCCTGAAATAATAGTAGCTGACGTAACATTTAGCATTCCTCAAAATTCACCAGTTTTTTTCCCCCGTGCAAACATCATTGACCTGTGAGATGTAATAAATAATGAAATACACGAGACTGTGAATTTTGAAGATGCTATTTTTTGTTGCAATCATTTCGTCTCATGTGTTGTGCATATCTAAAGAGCAATTACATATATATATAAATATACTATATGACCATTTGTTGCATGCATCTTTTTAAGTGTTGAGTTGATTTTGCCTTGGTTTTCTTGATCTTCATCATTCCATTCAGGGCAGAAATGTAGCTGACTACATTGCAATCTCGACATTTGAACATTCAAGTTGGGAGATATTGAAATTTTATATATATATTATATCTGCTATTTGTCAATCTGGACTTCTTGTGTGTTGTGTGTGTGTGTTGGGAAAAAAATGGTTGTTGCAAAAACTCAACATTGGGAGGCGCTGTAACACAGAAAGAGAAGAGATGAGAGACTCAAAACACATCAGGTGGACAAAAACAGCATTGACATCCTTGGCATGTTCCGTCATCGAACACAAATGTATTCACTGCATTTTTTTTAATTTATCGAATATCAATTGAAAATGTCGCTTTAAAAAGCTGCCAGCACTTGCTATAAAAAAGGGATGATGTATGTAGACCCCTTGCATTCTATGACCGTGGCCCCCATAACAGCTGTTCATGTTCAACGGTAACCAGTGAAAATAGTAATGCATGGGTTTGTCAAATCAAAATGGTTTTTGTAACCTGTTCCAAGACAAATGCAATGCTGTGGTGCTGTTTCGGTGTAAGAAATAGGAGTTTGATACCAGATGCTTTGCAATATTCCACTACCAATATGCCTGTTCAGGGTAAAGTATCACCATATCTTTTTTTTATGATTATTTTTTGTAATTTTATTATTTTTTTTTTTTACAAACCCTGGAACATGCAAGACCATAATTGTCATCATGTACAGCCCTGTGATTTTTCAAGTGTAAATTTGTTACTGAGATTTTGTTTTAGTATTATACACTGGAAGCGAGTCTGACTTGTCTACACACGGCATATCCTGAGTGCGGGGTGGGATCGGGGGAAAATCGATAATTTATGTGTCTAGGGTTTGATCGGCCATCATGGGATGTCTAGTGTTCCAGACTGAGACTGGGAGCCCTTTGTTACTGCACAAGCTGTATGGGCCATCCACCCTTTTTAATATAGCGCCTTCACCTTCACTTTTCCAGCAGACTGGATTTTTGGTCGCTTTTATATTAATCTGAGTTATTTTTTGACATCCTCCTCCAGTAGCTTTGCTCTCAAGGGTTGAGGCTCATGGTGAGGAAACCTGCTCTGTGAATGGAAACTGAGAAATGCCTTAAAATCATTCACCGTTCATGGATGACAAAAGTTCATTTCTATATTGTTCTGTGCTCTCACTTTAGCCAGTATATACGCCTCATTCCCATCATGTAAATTAATTCACAAATGTTAATAATTATATTAATAATGCTTATGAGAATTTCCAGAAGGCCTCAATAATAGTGGCCCTGGACTCTACAAAAATACTGTTTACTGTACAAATACTATTTTCAGTATCTTATTTATGTCTTAAAAAGGATTCTCAGTCTGGCATTTGTAAACTACTGTTTTGATTGATTGATTGATTGATTGAACTAGATCTGATGGGCTGTGCACAGAATGAGAGGCATGACGTTACCATTACTAACTTTATTACTTGTGTCTTGTGTTCCAACCCTCATAAAATAAAATGTGAAACAAACTGACCTGACTTTCTGTAACATTTACTCCTGATAATGTCTGTGAATAAATCCTTCCCGTTCCTAAATTATCTAATCCAGAGTCTCCCTAGTGTTATATATTATATTATATTACAGATCAAAAGTTTGGGATTGGTAAGATTTTTTTGTTTGTTTTGTTTTGTTTTTGAAAGACGTCTCATGTTCACCACTGCTGCATTTATTTAATAAAAATACAGTAAAACAGCACCATTGTGAAATATTACAATTTAAAATAACTGCTCTCTATTTTAATATAATTTCAATTGAAACTTGTTCCTGTGATGACAATGTCTTTACTGTCTATTTTTAGCCACTTTTTAACCATTAATGCATCCTTCCTGAATAAAAGTTGCACCCTTCCTGAATAAATCCTGAATACATTTTTTATATATATACTGTATATATATATGCACCCTCATTCCTCATTGCTGAATAGCAAAACTGGCCAGCTTAACATGCATAAATAACATGGAAAATGCATTGGGCCAATATTAGAATTAGCCATATTACTAAGTGATAAATTAATTTGATTGAATGCACAGCCTTTTATGTCAACGATATATGGAAAGTTTCTGTAGTGTTTCTCATTTTAATAGTTTATTAGACTTTATTTTGCTAACCTTACTATAATACTGAAGTCCTGAAATAACACTAAATAGGCATATTATAAGGTGTGCTTACAGTAGTCTTAATTTATAAGGGGGATAGTGTATTATTCAGTTATGTAACAGTTATTCTCCTAAGGGGATATAAAATGTCATCAGACATGACAAGGTCAGGGTTGCCTGGAGATGTTAGAGAAACAGATCTTATCAAAGAACTCTGGCACTCGGGGTACAATGGTTAGTGGGAAAATCCATTGGATTTCACTGTATAGTGCTAAGCATATGAAATTATCCATGCTAGACGAGCAGAGAGTTTCAGTACACATGCTCACACAGCAGTGCAATAAAGAGGCCTTTACTGCATGTAACAAGGCTTCAGCTGTCTGGCTTCATCAGGGGATCTGTGGCTCCTATTGTTCCTCCTCATGGGGTTTTAGTTTGGACTGAAGAGTCCTCGGGCTATTAGGTCAAGGGGCGTCTTGGAACAGAGCTTGTCAGCAGCACTGGCTCTTCCTATAGTGAGTGATTTCCTTCACACAAAAATGAAAATAGCTCCAAACAAAGTCAACCGCATCATAATCAACCACTGTGTCTTATTTTGTTACTAAATGCATCCTGGTTTTGAATGAATCATCAAGTGAATGAGTCAATGACTCCCTCATAAACACCATCACTTGTTTCATTCCTGAATGATTCAGTGTTTTTAATGAATCAGCTGAGAAATTGATTCATTAAATATATAGTCCAATAATATATGAATTATATATAAACAAATATGACATAAATATAACATAATGGATCATATGACTTAAAACTTTGAAATTATGAGATGAAAAATCATAATTATGACATAACATATTTATAATGAATTTGAATTTTTGTCATAGCTCATAATTGTGATTTACCAAAGCATAATTTCTGTTTTATGTGGCAAGAAATGTGCATCCATAATATATCATACATTGTGAATATTTTAGTGTTATTGAAGTTTACCAGTAGGCCGTTATATGGGTGAAATGTAGGAAAACAGTTACATACTATCCTCAAGTATAAAATTACAGACATGTTGTTTGCATTGGCTCTATACACTGCACAGAGAACACCTGGTCAGACTCACTGTCTAGAGAGAGAAATCCATAGATAAAGCCCTGCATTTCAGAAAATTGCATTACCACGTCCCCCAGCAGATTAATGTTTCTTAGGGCCAGTGACGTCATGGCAGCCATGGCATTGCTGCAGTGTCCACAGCTGCCACCATCAAATCACCCCAATGCAAATGGGGTCAGGCCCAAATGGAAACTGATTAAATGAAAGCAGAGTCAACATTCATGTTGTGTATCTTCTATCCCCTAACAAAAATAGCAGCATTACAAATAACAGAGTAATAATAAACATGCCTGGAAATGAACTAAAGGTGACAATTACATGGAAGGAACTG